ATCATAATTTTCCCATGAGCTAGATAAGGCTTTAAATATTCAGGAGATATTTTGTTGTGAACATTTTTACTTTATCACAATTTACTCTTCGTTATAGAATGTGATACTTTAGTACAGTTCTGTATAAACTTTGAATTAAGTTTTTAAACGTTTTTTAATGCACTATTACGATAAGATAAAAACCGTGTGCGAATAAATACACTAACGAGATAAAAACATAATAGAAGTCAAATAATGGCGAGGGCAGTTTATTCTTTAAGATTTTATAAAAATATGAAATCCTTAAAAAGAAATTACCACACGATATCAAAGTGAGCAAGCTCTTAAATCTTACAATTTAAACAAACGAATAATAAGAGTGGTAACAAATACGAAAAAAATGACGGCCGACGGCAATTGAGGCATAGTGGGACTTCTTCTATACTAATATTGTAAAGAGGTAAAGTTTGTATGTTCGGGGTAATCTCCGATACTACTGATCTGATTTTGAAAATTCATTCACTGTTAGAAAGGTATATTACCTGAGAGTGCTATAGGCTACTATTTTGGTAAATATATATATTTATAAACTAAATGTAATTAAAGTTGTTGTAAAAAGTTTATAATATGGCGTGCGCTGCCTGAATGTCTTGAAATAAAGGAAATATAATCTAGGACAAAAATATTGCTACACCATACACCATAATATACCTAAGTTTAGTATCTGAGCCAAAAAAATGCTTTTTTTTATATGAAAAGTACAATAAATTTTACAAGATTAAGTATATATTATACGTTTCATGAATACTTTACAAATTCTTATAAAATCAAAAAGCTAAATCAAAATGGCAATTTCATAAAGATAAAGTTTACTTCTGTTTATTGATGGAATTGGTCAATGGGATTGAATGAGCTTTGGGGCGGTATGCTATAAGGTTCTTGTGTCAACTAGGTTGAATTGCGTTTAGGCGATTCTGGCAAACTTATTATAGATTTTAAACTCATTTAGGACCCATAATATTTTGTGGCCGTGATGCTTCCCTGTTTAAAAAGGTGTATGCCTATTTTTACTTCATTTTGTCTCCCGCTTCATTATGGTGGGACGTTAATTTATTATATTTCCATCTCCTACAATTTTCTTCTGATAAAATTCGTTGCGGGCTCCAAGACAGTTCAATTTTTTCCTGGGACTTGAGGAGTATCATTAGTCGGTGTGCTCGTGGGTCCCTGCTGTCGATCCTGGTGTACCGGAGTTACAGTGGTTTTTATGTGGGAGGGATCATGGAGTTGGTCAGAATATAATGCGAAATAAAAACAATAAGCCGGTGAAATTATTGCACTATATAAACGGCTGTTCATTTTAAAACCTTAGAGAATATTAGTGCAGAATTTTTACACACCCAAAGTACCAGCCTTACTAAAATGTGTTGAACAGTTTAAAAGTTACACCATCAAATATTGCTCTTGTGTGAAGCCGGGGCGGATGACTAGTAATATATACACAGAGTGTCCCTACCCTCTGCTTGTGACATCGTCAAAAAGGTAAGGGATCACTTTATTCGTATTCTTTTAGATAGTACAGCCATTTTCACGGACTCAAAAAATAAAATTATATAATTATACGTTTGTCACTAACTCCTAACGAAAGACAGCTTCAGCAAACACCACGCAATCTTACAACACATTGAAGATCGCCACAGCTGACGCGGGTATAATACCGCTCATCAAAGGGCCAGAATAAATCGAAGATGATAGACCCTGACACAATTGTTTCCTCACTGGATGGCAATAATCATTCATTCGTCAACAACCAATTACACGATAAATACTGGACAGAATTGAGGTTACGCAGAGCAGTTAAGGAGCTCTCTCTCGCACAGAAACTCTCTCTTAAGCCACTAAAACTTCCACAACCATAATTGTGGAGTGTGATCGCAGGTCATGATCCCAATAACAAATATCGATAAGAGATATTTTTTTGTACATATATTTATAGGTTTATTGAAGATAAATTTGTTTCAAATAAACGCTCACATACGCGCCCACGTCTACAGGAATGTATAGAATAATGAACTACAATATCTCCTTAAAGGTTCTATTCCGTGCTCCAAACTCATCTTATATTCGAAAGTGGGAGACGGAAATAGCAAATTAGATTTTGTTCGGATAAAAGAAACACATCTTACATAGGCCAAAGTTTCGTTTTATTTAGAAAAGTAGTTTATACAATTTTACTAATTTACAAGTTGCAACTTTTATATAACTTGATCGTTACATATTCTATCTAACTTTTCTCACTCCACAAACATAAGAGTCCTTTCTGCTATCTTCTAAATTAGTTCACAAAGTTGAAAGCCTTACAGTTCTTACTATTAATTAGTACAATTTTCTTAACAATTTTCACTCACATAGTAATTATAGCGGTTTATATTTACAAAAAACACTTTAATCTATGTATCACAGAAAAAATAATTATTTATCTAGCATAATAATAGTATTTATTACAAGAGGAATAATTATCGACGTAAACCACCCTACACACAGACGTTTTAGCGTGTTCCAAAAGTTAAAATCGCAAGTGTGTGAGCAGTTTTATATTTACCTAATAAAATAATGCTCGATATTTTTTGTATCTTTGATTTTAATTTTAGTTTTACAAAATAAAAAGTAATAACAAGGACGTTAATCTTGTAAAGTAATAAACACAATATAAAAATTGTACAAAAAATATTGAGCAGCATTTTCAAATTACAAGACGGAGGAGATGATTTCTAAGGCGACTATATTTCAATAAATGTAAAAAAAAATGTATTCTAGGCCTTTCGGTATCAAACTAATTTAAGTAATATATTTTTTGATAAACTAAATTTTAGGTAGCTTTTTTGAATCGTAATATTTTTACTGTATGTTTGAAAAATGATAATTTGATGTAATTATTTTATACTGTATGTATAAGTACGAAATACGGACAGTCACAGATTAGGCACGAATTTTGAACAAACTTGAAGCTATATTTTTATTCTGAAAAATTAGATATTAAATTATTAGGTAAAAGTTTTTCCTTTAACAATATAACGATTCAAAAATTGAGTTTGAAAAAAAATCGGCGTGTGGTGTAGGTTAGTCTAATCAGTCTTAAATTGAAAATTTTAAATGAATTTCAATTTCCTATAGATTATTGAGCATGTCGTGATAAGCTGTTAAAATGTGTTATATTATTATTTTTTATAATTCACATAACTTACTTTATGATAAAACTGAACTTATTTATGATAAAGTAGAAAAATTAATAGAAATTATTTTTATTTTTTTCTTCTTTTTCAAATTTAATTAATATTTACAAAAATGTTAAAGTAAAACTTTTTTTCTTATTGCATTCTGAAAAATAAATGGGAGTACTACTGTTTAAAATGTATAAAGTGTAAAGATATGTTTTCAGATATCATGAGAATGGCACATTTCATTAAGAAATTAAAGCTTATCATATTACATCTACTAAATATTACTTTTTTGAAAATGTAGTTAAAGTGTATATCTATGTATTTCTGATATGTAATCCCTAGAAATAAAATTTAAAATAAAAATTAAATATTTTTTTAATTCTTAATATTCAATCATTTTATTAAATATACAATGAATTAAATAAAACATATTTATATAATTTTTTGTTTAATAAAATTGACTTGGACTCTTATCTACAAAGAACGAAAATATCTAAAGTTAATAGTTTTACGACAAATTTAACACGCGCTATCTGGTAGTGTAAGCATGTCAATTGTTTTATTTTATAATTTAAAATTATGACCTTTAAGCGATCTCCGATCACTTTATTAAAAGTGCTCACTTAGAGAGTGAGCACTTTTAGAAATTGAGATTATTTTTCTGTGACTATGGATAAATATAGAATATGGAGAAATATCGAAGCTTATTTGTATAGGCAAAGAAACCGCTTGATGGTTAACTTAAGTGATAAGCGGTAGTTTGTTATTTTTTAAAAGGTCGGATGCCTAAGGAAGCCTATGCACAGAAGTATCTATAAGTTGTGGACCTTATGATGATGGATTTCCAAGAATTTGCTTCTGATAGCTTTAACCCTAAATTCAGCAGTATATGGTATAATTACATCCCTTCTAGTACCTTCAATGTTTGAAAGCAACAATGTAGAGATTTTCAAGACAAGTGTTAATCCCGGAATGTTGTTAAAATATTCTTATCTTTTTTTATTGAATGAACTACGTGGCTCATCAAACTGCATCAAACCAGAAACTTAGACTTAATTGGTATATTAATTTAAAACATTCAAATATATTTAATTTATTAATATAATACACTTTAATACAATCGTAATAAGACCAGTCTCAGTCGGGTTTTATGAAATTGACGAGAATTTACAAAATTTCATTAATTTGACGAAATTTACAAAGTTAATTTATTCTGAAATTACACTCTTTATTTAACCAAAAAAAATGGTTATCTTTAAAACTAAAAAAAATGTGCTAAGATTATATTTGTATTTAACCTGTAAATACCAATATCTTAAATAGGAAATTAAAAAGGAGTGTTATATCAGAATTGTTTATTAAATAAACCATCTATTAGTTAAGAAACACGAAATGTTTACACTAAATTATGAAACACTTCTAACCAATTCTTCATCACTAAATTCGGTTGTGACAAAAAGCTTAGGGTAAACTATTTTACCATCTATATCCTATTTCTTGAACTCTAATATTCTAGTTATATCCCAAGGATATCTGAATGTTCACAAAAAATCCACAAACATTTCCGCCAAACATATTTTTTTATAGTATACATATCTAATAAAACGGCAGATAATGTTCATAAAATCTTTGTGATAATTTACAAAAATTTATTTCATTACATATTTTTAATTTGACCGTTGAAATTTTGAGAAAAATATCTCTTAATTAAAATAAGACTAATAGTATGAGTACACAAATCATCGCATAGTAAAATTCTTCAAAAGTATTTTTTTTACAGAAAACTGTTTAATATTTAACTTACACGTGAGTCGCTAATGGGGTTTGGTGACCATTACCTGAAATAAGAAACAAACGTTTAATAAAATCATCGGTTTATAAAACTAGTGTTATCTGTCGGTTAGCCATGTTTCAGCTCAAATAAACCGGCTCGACCGGAGAACGGCCACGCAGAAATCAGTCTTAGCATTTTAATCGTTGCTTTTCACCAAGATTACGGAGCCCAAACACCTCTCCTTAACTTTGGAGAAGGAGGGGGAGGGGTTCAAAGGGTGGCAATCCACATGTGACTCTTTAGTTGCTAGTGGCCATGGTCGGTGGTAGTCACTTATGTCACCATCAGGTGAACCGTCTGCACGTTTACCCTCCTATACCATCAAAATACCTTACTCAAACTTGACAATGAGGACCGCACGTTCTGTAGAATAGTAATATGAAATAATAACTAGTGACATCAGAAGATGGTATCGTTAGTTCATGTTAAAAATTCAGTCAAAAATTTAAAAATCAAAGTAAACTCGAAAATATGAGCAAATATTTTGAAGTCAATCATATCATAACACTCAATCTTAAAAGGAAAGAAAGCTATGTTTTTAACTACACAAGAAGTCATTTTATTGTTTAGTAAAATGGATTATCCATTCGTTACTATTTCAAATTATTGTTTTCTCGAACTTTAGTTAAAATAGCACATGTCTTTTGAAACAAAAAGCTTTTTCATTCATATACATTACACAGCTTTGAAAACAGTTTTCAATACAGTAAGGGTTTAAATTATTTCAAGATTTAGTTGACGTTGCCCGATGATATATACCGTATTTAATTTCCGGTGTTGAAATTGTCACAGTACACGTGAGTAATAGATGTTTTAAACCGACATTTGGTCAACTATTCATAGAAACATGTTTTTATTTATATTTAAACTGAGAGTATCGTTGAAAATTCTTATGCAAAGTTTCTTACAAATCTGTCTTATAAACGATGTAATATAAATCTCCTTCATTAATTTTATGCCTGACAAAAAGGCGAACTGATATGCCTCAACTAAAGATACATTTGTAAAGCAAATTGGAGGTCGATAGCAAATTAATTTTTAACATCAATTGTTTCTCTTGTATGGTTTACCAACGTTAAGTCGGGATTAATTACATTAATAAAAGTAGTAGTAGCTTTAGTATGTTAGTTATAACATAGGTATTTTACTCACCTTTTTTGGTTACGGTCGCGTTACTGATAGTTCTGTTTGATGGTGCTAGTATATAATGGGCGCTTGGTGACTGTGGTGTCACTGATGATGTGGCTACTGCAATACCAATCTTTAAAAAAAAACATTAATTCATTCTAAATACCATTCACGCTGATATAGAAATAAATAGAATATAGACACATACATAACAGAGAATATTATAAACTTGATGACGTAACAAGCGTCGTCCTTTTAAAATGTTGTGTGAAAATTCCCTTGGAGAAAAACCATACTTATTATCCGCGTATTTTTAACATATATTCTTGCTTTTTTTTCAATTTCATTGACTCGAAACCTTAACCTTGGGATTTTAAATTTCAGCAAAATATTTCATTCCAAAACATTTAGAGAATGACCTCGGAACCTACTAATGAGCGGCATTTTTAAAGAGTCTTTTAACTTTCGAGACTGTCTGTTGATCATTAAGAATGCTTTTACCGTAACTTCTAAAGTAAAATAACAGTCTTTAGTACAAATATATCAAAAGGTCTTGTAGTGAATACAAAAGTAAAGTATAAAGTGATGTACATGCAAGTATAATTGGACAAGTAGACAAAGTACAAGAATAGATACACACCGGTGGTTGCGTGCTATCAGTAGACATGGTAGACGTCGTGATAGGGCTTGTCGCACATTGTGGTGACGCAAGACTAGTTGGCGACGTTATTGAGTGCGACGAGTTACCTGGTTAGGAAAATGTTACTTTGAATTCTATTCATTCCACTTAAGGAATACATTTCAATAATGTATTAATTAGAGTTAATATTAAGAGGAAAGTAAAATAAGCCAGTTAATTATGAGATTTTATTTATTTTTAATTGGTTTAATTATAAATGCTCATAAACGTTGGCTGAATTGTATTGTCGTTATTTTATTTAATTATCGTTATTTTTTTTCTACCAAAGAACTTTCTAGAGTTTCGACTAAAAAAAGTTAAAACTTACAAGTTTGCATATGTAATAATAATATTCTATAATAATAATAATATTGACCAGTTCGTATTTTCAGTATTCATGGACTAACTCGACCTGTACGCTTGATGAGTCCAGGCTGGTCGATCCACTTTTTATTCTACATATTTTTGTACTTGTATTTTCACTAATTTGTAAAATCTTAAAGAAAAATTCAATAGTGTTTACCATTACACAATTTACCATTTTTTTTTTTGGAAATAAACACATTTACTATTTAAATATATATACATCCTTTTTATCACAATTTCAATTCGTTTAGTTGAATCGGCAGCTATAGTATCAGGGTGACCAAAGTAAGAAGTCTTTTTCAAATCTAACTTCGAATTCTACCAAAAGGTATGACTAACTCACGAAACAAATCGCTTCATAGAAAATGGATTAAAAAGGAAAGTAAAAAAGTGTGTGATCTATGGACCACGGAGGCTTAGATACACAAACTAAAATTTAAAAGTTTCATCTCTCTCTCTATTATCTGGAACATAACAAGTCCCAAGAGTTTGGAGCAGATAGACTGACTTAATTTTAGAATCAATAATAGTTGTGGATCCTAGACAAACTTCGCTGAAGAACAATGACCCGGGCTTGTTATGATTGAATTAATTACAATATTGTTTGTCGAAGCATATCTAAGAGGAATCTTAACATCGGCTCAAGTAGTTTAAGACTCAATTCTATTGTAAAATCTATTAATTACAAATAATGACAAGATTTAGTACCGTAATAAGCCTAAAATATATATTAAAATACATCTATTTTAGCTACTTCAGTCTATTAAGTTACCTTTTATTATTAAATCATGTTACCTCCCTACCTCAGTAAGTAATAAAACATTAAAGTCCTGCTTGCAGAATACTTAGAATGAGTTAGGCTCTTTAGCAAACTTTATTTGTTTTTTTTTTTTTACTTTTTAGCAACTTTATTTGGCTCTTTATCAACTTTATTTGATTTTTTTTGAGGCTTTGATTTTTTATCACAAATCATTTTAAAGGGTTAATTTTTATTTATTTTGGAGTGCTAAACTATAAAACTAAGGATTCATTAAATTAAATAGGACACTTTCTTTCTTGGGTCAAAAATTTATCATTTAATAGAATAATAATAAATTACCTGAAGGTATCACAACCGAACTCCTGACCGATGAATATGGCGGCGGTGCAGGTGTAGATGCAGGCTTCGCAGTGTTCACTGTATTCGCGAACCCAAGTCCTCCCCCAGTGCGTAGGTGAGGGTTGCCGTAAGTTGCCGCATAGCGCACATCCACGCCATGGATAAGCCCTCCGTTGGGGACTCGGTTTACTGCTGCAATAACTTAGATATTGATTTTTCGGTTGAAATTTACCAGTTTGTTAAAGAAAAGAAAGTGGATGATTAGATAGCCAATATTTATTAATTTGAAGTTTTGGGTTTTAATGTGAAAGGCATATACTCGTATTGATAAATAACGTTAATGATTTAATGTACAGGTAGATACAGTAAAGTATGGTAATTTTAGGTTTTTATATTAAGCCCTGTCAATAAATGTTTAAACTAGGAGCGACTCCAATGTATTTCATGAATGGATAGTATTCCAAGTGATTACTTGCTCGCTATTTGTTATAGGATCTAAAACAAATAGCGAGGATAAAACCTAGATGATCATTAAAAAGATTAAGAACTATCGAAAAGCCATTCACGTAATCGCAACTACAATTCTAAAGAAAAATATTTTCCAATATCGCAAACGCCACGAATACACTCGATTTCCTATACAAAATCTTTCATATTGAAACACTGAGGCTAAATTTTATTGAATATCGCACGAAGGAAATATTTTTCAAAGATTTTCCTTTAAACGCATGTAAAGGAAGGTAACGTAGTCACAAAGCACCAGCTATCGTTTCTTTGTACAAGACACGCTTTGTTTAGAACTCACGTGAAAATATTGTAATTCGTTCGGAAACTCTAAATAATATTTTGTATGCAACCTTTGTTCGTAATCCTGTTTATAAAAACTTTAAGCTGAAACTATTGTACATTTTCTTTGTTCGAAGTTGTCAAGTACATGGCCCGCGTAATGGTTATTGTCTCTACCTAAGTACTTGGAATAGAAATACTGTATAATGCTTTGCTAACTTATTCCAGTATAAAGCTCTAACGCAACTATTCTTGAGAAAAAAGAGAATACTTCGAACTAAATAATGTTTAACCACAATCTTCGGTGCATTGGAATCTAGTAAAGCGGCATTTATTTTACAATACCTCTTTTAACATACCTAAAACGAACAAATAAAATATGACAGTGCCATTTATATCGCCCGAGCAGCTAGTGACCGAATTTAGATGGTTTCTTTCCATTGTAAATAATATCCCAAAAAGTGATTTAGGAGTGCGTGTTGCGAATAAAATACTACACGCAGAAAATAACTATATACACTGAATACGATTCATTGTAAGTGAATACTAATATAGAATTGTACGCAGTGAAAACAAAAGTAGTACTAAAATTTGATAAATTCATTAAAGTCACTATAGAGTACAAGAAAGTTTGCGGCAAGAGCTCTAAAATTAATTATCTAGGACCATGATCCATTCTTTGGTAAGAGATTGTTTCATTTCAATAACTTTCTGAAGGTTTTTTTCATAAAGGATTAATTTTAAATTAAATTTAATAGACAATTATAATATTTTACAATTCTAATCCTTTACACACAGAACTTCCTTACGTAGCTTGAATTCGTATTTTAAATAGCTTTAGCTGATTTCAACTGTGGAACGGTTTTTGTGAGTTTGAGAATTTTTCAAGTTCATTATATAGCATTCAAATATTGACCCTTGTTACCTAAATCAACGCATATTATGGAATACTTATGTGTCAAAAGTGATAGATGAGTTTTATACACCCATAAGGTTTTTTATATAAATACACTGACTTGTAAAGTCTCGAATAAATTTGACACAATTAAGGGGCAACTGAATTGTTGTTTACTAATAGTGGCAGTTTTAGTAGTAATATGATTAATGTTCCACTCACCATCGGGGGTAGGCAACCCTAAATTGTTCAGTGCGTTGCTACTGTCTAGCCGCTTCTTGCGTTGCAGTGAGTTATTCTGTGAGCCTCCATTGCCAAGATTAAATTGTACGGTTGATGGCGTGTCCACACTTCTGGGAAGGCTGCCGTTTATTGACCTTTCGTGGAAATTTTTAATAATAACTAATAATATTCACACAACGCCGTTTAGTCGCAAGCTAAACAGAGCTTGTACTATGGGTACTAGACAACTAATGTACACACATATAATATACTTTTTTGTTAATCAAATCAAACATTAAATGTTATTGCACACAAATGTTTGACTTAAATGGGAATCGAACCCGCGACCTTTAGCATAGCAGTATGATACAAAAACCACTACATCATCCGGCTGTCTAAAAATAATAAAATGTCTTTTAAATAATTACACCTAATTTACCTTTGAATTAATCAAAGCTTTCCAGACGAAGCAATGAATAGTTAAATTATGAATGCTTAATCAATCAAATCGTTTCCTAGTCGATTACATGATTAGAAAATACAAATTGCGAACCTAATCAGTATTTTAGTATTGGTATTATGTAAATTTAAAATAGTTTGTGTTCTTCTTTGGGTAAAAAATTACCTAGTTTACTGATTTATTTTCAATTAATAGTGTATTTTGCATATGTACATGATTTAATATAGCTTAAACCAAATTAAAATAAATTCAAGCTCAATTTTTCAATTGGTACTCACCTATTAGGAGTTAATTTATCACTACTCATAGTTGGTGATTGCACTCTGAGTGAGCCAGGGGTGTAGTCGTGACCGTAATGTACATAAGTTTGATATCCATTGCTAAATCCGTTGTTAACCTAAGCAAAGAAATCAAAATTTAATTAGAATATTTGCACTAACATTTTCTAAACTTCGTTAATAACGATGACTTAATAACTTAACAATTATGTCAACCATTCCTGTCTCTTCAGAAACAACTATTTAATTTATGTCTACTTTTTTATTACTTTAAGTTATTGTGATCATAAATCATCATTAAATTATACATACTATCATAATCATTTTTGTTATTTCATTTAGTGTACATGATTATGTTTAAAACCGTTCTTTCAAATAAATCAGTTCATTCAAATATTGTAACATCGTTTTAGTAATTAAAACGAGGCAAATTTAGGTCACAACAAAAATATCGTTCCGTTTCATTTAGCTTCCACTTACTTATACAGAAATGTACAAGGAAAACGACAAAAACACACTACAAGTAGTATATACAGATATAGGCAGTTACAATCCTGTATCCCAAGATATGGGATAGAATATTGATAGACATTTCAAATTCCATTACCTTATAACAATCAGCATACGCGGGATCCGAGTAGTCGTTGCTGTATCTATACGGTTGATATGTACTAGTCTGGTTTATTGACGAGAGTGGTACTGTGCCCGCAAGCGGTATACCACTTCCAAGTTTAGCATTGGAGCATAACGTACTGTCTGATCCTGTGTTTGAATAATCCTGAAAAGGAAGCCTATGATATAATACTGGTATTTGTAAATATGATTATCTCTCTATGTAATTGGTGTAAAGTGGAATTTAATACGATACATTTCGTTATGACATACTAATAAATCAGAAATTGATACTGTGTTCAGTATTTGATTTAAATATTTTAAAAGTACAAATACTAGAATACCTTAGATTACCTTACAAGATGACTATGTCAGAGTCAGAGCATTAAATGATAAAAAAATACTTAACTATTAATTAATACAAATGTAAGTTTATTTGCTTATTTACTTGTTACGATCTCACGCTTTAAATACTAAACCCTTCATCATACACTTTATTAGAGGTAGAGAAGAGGGAATAGGGTTAAATTAATAACAGAGTACTATGCCCAAGGTATACAAGAAGAATGACTTCAAAATAACTTTGCTGTGAACTTAGCTAACGTGAATTTATTATAAAATAATCTTTGTAGTGTTGCTCTATTAGTTTTTCCTTAACTATAACTTAAAAATCAATACTTACAATTTCACAACTGCCATTTGCTTGTCTAAGTTCCAATTTCAAATCGCTTATATTTGAATTTCTATCATTTTCCTTATATAACTCTTCTGCAGTAACCGTCACGTCCGGTTTCTCCACGACCTGAGATTGTTTGTTCTTCCTCTGTTTTCTTTGGCAAAGTATCACTAGCATGATCACTGCTGCTACCATTATAGTACCAGATGTCACTCCAAAAAGGATCAGTAGAAGCGGAAATGATTCTAAAAGAAAAAGTTATATTTGATGCCTTTTCAATAAAACCAATCTTAAAATTGATCCAGTCCGAAATCATTTAAAATATATAGTAATACTGTGAAGACACTGCGACAGATTGAATATACTTATGTAAAGGTTATAAAGTCAAAATGGCGATACATTTACGATAATGCTTGGTCGTTGTGACTGTAATAGCGGTTCAGTCAGTCATGAGAATAATAGTGACGTCCTTTGCAAGATGGACGCGAGGAAAATATTTCCTAAAGAGAATTTAGTTCGACATTTTTGCGAAAAAAAATAGAGGTTCTGACCGTTAGTGAGCATATAGATCAGTAATGGAAGGCAAGAATTGTACTGTTAGGTGCTATTTTTTAACGACGTTACATTTTAAATTTACGATATTGATGCTATACGATAAACTCATTAAATTAATGTTTAATTTTTCCCTTCCCAGACTAAAAACAGCTTGCGGGAGACTGCATAAACTTTTGAACACTTCAGAAAACCCATGTACGTAAAAGTTGTTCATGACAACTCTCAAGAAGATGCTCTGATGATGTTTTTTTTTACTTTTAAGGCAAGTTATGGAAAAGTTCTAATAGGTGTAAATAGGAATAGTGCGATCCTAACTCAAATATCTGGTGTTGGATATCAATGGAAAATCAATAAGTACCTAAATTAATATACTGACACTGCTGGGCAAAGTTTAAAGTGTATGTTTATATCACATGTATAAAAAGTCTGGTCCTAAATCTACGCAAATATTGCAGGTAAGTAAGTAAAGAACAATCATATTCATTTCTTCAAACTTCCATTAATGTATCTACATTTTGAGTTTAAATGTTTTGCAAATACGTATAAATCGAAGATTATCCCGTGTTTGCATTTTCTTGAAACGGAAACAGTCATAAACTCAAAAGTCGTAAAGAAGCTGTCGTAAAATACTTAATAAAAACAATGGAAGTAATGACGATTCCCATCATGTTTAAAGACTAAGCAAAAATATTTTTTTTACTTGCTCTGTTTATAGCATTGAGCGTACTCAAAATCGGCGTATAATGGCTGTTTTTGCAGACGCTGTTATTGTAATATAAATATTACAAAAATATTTAATGTATTGTTATATATACCCACTAAACACTCTCAAATCATCATAATATATGAAACATAAGCACTTACTGTTCGGCCTCAGGACAATCTCTATGGTATCGCTTCCGTAATCATTAGAGACATTGCATTTATAGACTCCGAAATGCTTTGATTGGCTCTCCCGGATGATTAACGTCGAGTTCACCACCCCTCCTGGTTGAAGCTCCTCCAGGAATGCGTAATCCTGGAGAAACGGCTTGTTTAATTTAGATGCTTTAGATGTGTGAGGGAATGATTGGAATGTAAAGCTGGTTTCGATTTCTTAGAAGGACGATTTGTTTGAATTTCTACTTTAAGAAGAAATGGAATTGTTTTCAAAGCCAATTGCTTTATCAATGTTAAGTATAGCAATAGGCGCAATTTTATTTAGCTTTTATAAAAGCGATGCTACTAACGCATGAAAGCATTCCGCATTTGTATGAAACACAATAACAGGAGCTGTCCTATTTTTGTTATATTAAGAGGTAATTTAATTGCTTTTAGAACCGTCATCGGTAGTTTTAACATACCTAAGTCACATTTTATATAACACCACATAAAATGGTGCAGGAAACATTGTAATGCTCCTTAAATTGATCATCAAACACTTTATAGTTTTGTGTCATTCGAAATTGTGTCAAATAAATTTCTGTCTTTCATTCATGTTTCTGTTTTAGTAGCAACTCGTTACATAATATTATTGTATACTAGTTGGTTTCGCGACATCGTTCGCGTGGAAACTGAAAAGCGCTGCCTTAGTGGGTTCGATTCCCGGACAGGGTATAATTATATAGCGTTTTTTTGAGATGAAAATTAGCCTAAGTTACTCCTTATATAGACCAGCTACCTGGTAGTAAAATACACACACACAGACAAAACAAAAAATATTTAAATGGTTTTTAGGTATCGGTATCGTGCAACTAACCGTGTGGCATGAAAAAAACTTATTATTTTGATATTACAAACAGACACTTAAATTTTATTAATTTGTGTAGAGTATACTCGTAGATTTGACTGTCATTTGACTTGTCGCCACGCCACACTACTACTACGCCACTGACTGTATAGGATTACATGGGACAACACTTTGTGTCTGTCTGGGTGTTCTTTGTGTCCGTTTCATGTATGTTTGGAAAGTCCCCGCGACACAGGATTTATTACTAATGCGGGACTTGTCCTTTTAAAATAAAATAAAATATTTGCTTTTACATTAATTATTGTTTTATGAAATTCCACAATAGCAGAAGAAATCGTTTTATTTTTTTCAAAACGTAAAAGCTTTACTTTGAGAGATTTTTTTTACAAAAATAACGGACACAAAGTACTCAATTGAAAAATCCATTGCAAATAGTGTTTCAGCTTTGAAAGTAGCAATGTTGAGTTGAGTCCCATTTAAACTCAAAGCCTTCGGTTGATGGCGTTTGTGTGAAGAGTTTGTAGCATATCTGAAGGTTAGGATTTCAATGAAGCTACCAAAACATTCCCTAAATGAAGCCGTACACTTGATGACATTAAAAGGATTTAAATGACCTTATCTCTAGTTTTTTACTACGAAGTTTTTTCCTAAATATGCCTGTATACAAGTGATCGTGAATGTTCGTCGTCTAGGAATGCCTAAATATACCTGATCGTGAATCGTGTCAATTTCTCTTCCATCAAAAGTCCAGACTATATTTTCAATCCTTGGTACAGAGAAAGCAGCACATTCTATATTGACAGTATCTCCTTGTGATCCAAATTGAGTTTGGTTTGATATGATTTTTGGTGGACCTGAAACGGAAGCTTTATAATACCACATTCTAAAAACTTCGTCAATACTAATAAATAAATTTTAGACTTTTTAAACTTTTATTCAAATTTATATAGTTAGTTTTAATTATATGCCATATACTAAAATAAAAGAAAATCTGATAAAATTAAAATCCTTGTTTTAATATTAATTTAAAGTATTAACTTTAAATTAATATTAAATAAAGTTCAATTTCAAGGTTCTCGTTCAAAATCTCGAAACTCCCATAGTTTACAGAAGAGTGCTTTAAATAATTAAAATTGTGTATGTTTGAAACACGCAAAAAGAAAGCCTCAATAATTATTACAATATCTTTAGAAAAAATTAAACTTAAAATCACACACACACGTCTAACATAAGCCTCTCCTTAGAAACCTCCTTTCAACTTAAAATGAAAAATTGGAAGTCTAACTCTTTGCAATCTAGCCCGATTAACTAATTGTTGTTGGTGGATGAAAAAGTTATTGTTTAGGTACTTTGCCGCAAATAGCACATTTATATTCGTTGAAGTTGTAAAAAAAAAAAGGATTTTATGTCACATATACATTAGTAATTTCAAATTTGTTCATTTATTGTAACTCTATGACTGAAGTTAGTTTTCATATTAGTGGTTACAAATTATACCCATTTTATATACAAATACAATCCAATTTCACTCTAATCATGATATATAAAACGTGTATCCAAGGCTGTGAGAATGACATACCCTACGAATATATAACCTCCTTATTCAATGAGATTGCTACATTCGTACAATTACTACCTATTTCAAAGGAATCCTTACTAAGGCATCTAGTTGAATTTGATACTATTGCCAGAGCTCTCGAGACTCCCGTAACTGCAAAGCTGAGAATAAACCGCTTAGTAATGTTTCAAGAAATTAATCAATTTCTGTTCTAATGGCATGGGTATTCGATTCATTCTCATTTGATTTCAACCTATTATGAAAACTTGCAAATAATTATACTAGAACCGATGATTTTGGTTTTAAAAGCTCGTTGGAATTTATAATTCAAATTCTGAAAAGAAAGAAAAAACAATCAGGTTTATCATGATGATAATGATCCTGACTGTCATTGTGTTTTCTTTGGCACTGAAAGGTGCCAGACAAGCCCACTACCTGCCGAATGGTAAGCGACTTATGGAAAACCTTTAAACACTCATTACATTACGGACTGTCGCAAGTGCGTTGCAAACTTTACACACCTATCCTATAGAACTTTAACAAGACTACTAATAACCAAGAGCAATGTATGTTTTAATAGTATAATAGCGTCTTTATAATAATAAACACTTTGCTGACAAAAGAGAAAGCACATGTGAAAAATAGGTTAGGTACGTCATGTGTTTTAAACATGATAAGGCTCAATTAGCAACTATTACGAAGGAATTATTAATACTTTAATAACTTTAAAGCAAATAAGTACTTGTAATACTTATATATATATAATTACTGACCAGTAAAATTATGTCCGCTAATAGTCTGGTATTAATACTGTTCGTGTTCTTTAGTTTAAGACTAAGGTTAAGTTTAATTAAAACTTATTTAAGGTGTACTAAAGAAAGTAAATTAGGCACTTAAAGTATGGTACATAACGATTGGTTTTTATTTAAATTAAATTTTAAGTTTTTATTTATCAAACTTTAATCGGAGTTTTGTTTCACCACATGTAATTATAAAAAAAAGATTTATGCGCTGCTATAGTTATCTTGAGAGTTATATTGTACAGACAAATAGAGGACCTAAATTACAGAAGGTCAATCACACTACAAAACTCTGTGGTTAGACAACAACAAGCAGAAGAAAATTTACTTAACCTACCAATGTTGCTAGTTTTAGTAGACTTGATAAGTTAGTATTGGACGACTTGGTTTTGAACAGGCAGTTATTTAGACAGCTGTCTTCTTACAAGATAAATAATCCACAGTCTCGTTTCCTTGGCTTGGAAAATGTTCGATCCCAGAAAACATCCATAGAAAGTCTTATTGTATAATTAATAACGTTATTAAAACTTTTCTGTATGTTAATAGGCTTTGATCTAATTTTCCCCGAAAATGTAAGTTCTCCACCATTACAAATAATTAATTAAAATGACTGAACATTGTAGGGTCTTTCATTAGAAATGTGTGTGCTATTTACGGTAGGACGTAGGGGCGGAATCCATTTATTCTTTATGAAAGAAAGCGTTCAGTTTTTGTGTCTACTTAGAAACGTGTAGCTTCTATAGAAATAGCCAATTAAATGTGATACATTTGTCGTAGAATAAATGAGAATAGACACCTTCTATTCACAGGTTTTTTTTTATTTTGCAAATAGGGCAGTTAGTAAGTAGTACGAATATAGAGTAGGCCATTGCCTTAAATTTAAAGAAAATATTGATATTTGGAAATAGTGTTGTTTTTAGGTTCATTACTTGATTACTTGGTATTTTAGGTATTTCTTCTTCTTTTTAATGATATGTGTGTGACGTGACTTTCTTTTAGAGGTTTCTTAAGCAAATATTTATTTTAATGTTTCTATACGTGACTTTGGCTTAGTTATTTTTATTTTAGAATGCCAATTTCAATATTGCAATCAACTGCATTGAGTATTATCTGAAATATAAACGTATATTGAAACAAAACTTTGGGTTATTGACAAATTAAATGTCAAAATTGTTCAGAAAATAAAATGTAGAAAAGAACAACGAGGTAATAACGAGGTGGCATTAACGTTATTTTCTTTTATAGTAATGTTTGTGGCATCATATTTTTAACAGGGACACCATGAATAAATTAAGACAAAACTAACAGTGAACTATATAACATGCACTCAATAAACTACGACTATATTTTAATGTGACATTACGAGTTAGGTCACGTATTTTACTTTTTAACCATTTTATTATAAAACGATGTCTATTTTCATTTAACTTTTAGCAGTTTGTTTCATAAAATGGCAACATTTAACTTAATATACAAACGGTCATCGATTGAAGTTTTAGTTCTAGTAAGACTTTATTTGAAATCCCAAGTCCTAAGTAGAAGAGATTCAGAGTTGAAATCATCATCATCATCATCATCAACAGCCTTCAATAGTCCACTGCTGGACATAGGCCTCTCCTTAGAAAGGAGGTTTTGGCCTACTATACCACGCTGGCCAGACGGGTTGGTTTAGGGATTGTATCAAGTTTTCCTTCTTTTTGCAGTGCTGGTGTCCTGCGTTGTTTTGCGCCCTTAGTCGCCTCTTACGACACTCACGGGATGAATTGGGGTAGTGACATTCCGTATTCTTAATCCGTCACTACACGGACAAGGACGGAAAGTCACATTAAAATCAATATTTTTTTTTACGTTGGAAATAATGACGTTAACATCTCAAAGCGAAACCAAGAATGGGCATTCTTCTTTGTTTTATAGTTGTTATATTATATAAATTTGGATGAACTACATCTTTTATAAAAATATCCTGATACTTGTAATATCCTAACGGTTATTGTGGTGGTGGTTACCAAAAGGTTATAATTCTTGTGGCTAATTATACTTTTATGTATTCTGACAAAAGTTTAAAAGTAACGTCTTTTTTTATTTGTTTACTCATACAGATACTTAATATATCATACACCGTTTCATAGTTTTTCGATTGGACTAAAGAAACTCATGACTGCTTGACTAAAACCTCAAAAAATAAAATACTCTAAGACATTCTATCATTTAAGAGGTCTAAACAACTAATCGGTATACTTTTTACTCTACAACAGTCTTGATAAGTGTTTGTTAATCAAGAAAATATTTGGATGAAATCTTACCAAAAAAGCGCAGTTTCACATTTGATTAATTTTATGTTATTATCATTCTAGATTAACATAACAATGATCTATCTAAAGTGTTAATGTAGGTTAAATTATGTTAATTTTTAAGGCATTATACTATCTCACTGATGTAGGTAGGAAATGTAAAAAGATTTCATTGTTTCAATGTGTTTCAAAGACACTTAGCAATTATGAATTGAAAACAATTTTGTTAATGATGAATATGATACTTAATACATAGTTATTTCATATATGTATATCTCACGTTTAAATTTACTGTTTAATTTCTTACCTTTAATAAAAACTGAAGCTTCGGCTTCTATTTCAGGATAGCCGTCCACACTAGCCTTACATAGATACCGACCAGATGTGTGGGTATCTAGTGTTAGAGTTAAGTTGGGTGTTCTGCCGACGCGCTGTGAATAAAGCATTAAGTAAATTAAACATGTAATGGTATGAAACTTACCAAGTTAAAGCGTAGAAACAGCGTAACTTATGGGCTGAATGAGTTAGTTCTTGGAAACTTTAAAGGCCCAAATTACAATGGATTCGTGGGTACAAAGTAAACAAGTAAAATTTAATATAAGTAAAGCAAATTAAATTAATGAAGTTCATTGACAAATCCTAAGCAAATACAATAATAGGTAACTTTGAACATTTAGGATAAATACGATTTATTCAATAAATTAGTATATATTAAGTTAGTGTAGATATTCAATCATGCGTGTAAAATTTAAATGATTAAGATACTAACATAAAAATCTTAAAACATAGGTAAGGAAATACGTTACACTATTATAAATTTACAATGCTAAATATCACAACGCTAGCCCTGACAAAATGATACCCAAAATAGTTATAGCATTGTCAACATGAATAAAACAAATACAGACACATTTATATTCCACTATAAAGACGTTACAAAAAGGGCTATCTAGTCTCGTTAAAGAATAACATTCTTCTAAGATAGTGACGATAATCCTGTCGTAAAGCTACCGACAATGATGCCCACACAATATTAAATATACTGGCAGTATATCCGAATTCGGATTGACCATTTTTCTTAGCTACAACAAAGGTTTTTTTTTCAAAAGATCAAAACAGAAACACATACTTGAAACTTGTTTGACTTAAGAATGAATTGAGAGCCCGATGGGTGCTTGTGCTTTTAATATTGTGTTGTTAACAATAAGTTTTGGCAACACCAAACACTATACCATAGTATTTTATAACTATTATTAATTGTGTAATTGTGACTAGAAATAAATATTAAAAAACCTTGATGTCAAATACACGGGATAGTAATCTAATTCTGAGAATGTTTATCAGAATATATATAAAATTATAGAAGCATTAGCTAGATTGTGTAACTAATTTGATACTTCTAAGACTTAGTAGAGTGAGAAAAATGTAAGGATTATGCTTTCTCATTGAAATTAAAACAAAATAACTCTGAATGCTCCTTAGGATTATGATTGGGAGAAAAAACTTTTTTTTTTTTTCATTCTTTCACAAATATCTTGTTATCCCCATAAATGTGCCTGTTTTTTTCACTGTTTATTGTCAAACTTTGTATAACTATTGTTAATATTGTTATAATTTGACGCTGCGCAATTGCTTTAAGCCAGTTATTGTGTATTTTTTAAGGCTCAGATAGCTTGGCATGCAAGTAGCACGTATGTAGTTCACAAAATATTTAAAGTCATTAATTATACATATAGATAGATAGAAAACACTTGTTTTGTACACAGTTTTATAAAATAGTCTGACATGTAACGTATAAAGGGCGGCTTTATTGCCAAGAGCAATCTCTTCCAGGCAAAAATAGAATGGATTAAAATGTTTTGGAAAGACAGTAGTAGTTGAAGATGCAATGAGTTTTGACAGGTTAAAGGCTAATCAATATAAAAGAGGTAAAATTAGAAAAATATATACATATAAACAAATATACATAGCTATAACTACTTAAAATATATATTAGAAATAAAAAACAGATATTACTTTACTTTAATTAAGCTTTTTTTGGCAAAATTAAAATCATGAACTTTTTTTTTTAAAACAACTCCCGCATTAGGACTTACAGGATTATTAGAATTAACAGGATATAAATCCTGTGTCGCGGGGACAAACATACATGAAATGGACACAAAGAACACCCAGACTCAGAAGAACAATTTGTGGATCACACAAAGTGTCGTTCCATGTGGGGTTTGAACCCACAACACTCGGCGTAGTAGAAAGCGGCGTGGTGACCGCTTAAACCATACGCCATATCCGTGCAATCATTAACGTTTGTAACAATAATTTATAAACGATACTTACAATCATCTGATCTTCCTCATGATGCAGCCATCTTATTTCTGGTGGAGGGTATCCGTCAACGTCACAGCTCAACGTCACCGCTGTACCTACTTCTGCCTCGACATCCTTCGGCAAGCTTCTGAATGTTGGTGCATCTAAATAAAACATTCAAATTATATGGAAGTATGAAAGAACAATTATATTTACTAACTAGCTGAGACCCGTGGTGTTACCCGCGTTTGTTGTTATAACCGCGGGCAACGCCGCGGGACGAAGCTAGGCTAAAAAAAGTAGCCTAAGTTACTCCTTATGTCATCAGCTATCTGCCGGTGAAAGCCGGTCCAGCCGTTCCAGAGATTACCCGGAACAAACAGACAGACAGACAGACAAAAATTGTAAAAAATGATATTTTGGCATATGTACCGTGTAAACATACATATGCATTTGGTAAAAAGCGGTTATTTTAATATTACAAACAGACACTCCAATTTTATTTATTTGTATAGAAAAGTACTTATCACGGACTAAATAATAATGAAAGAGTTACATTTTGTGACAAAGAATTTATCAACAAAGCCATTTATTTAGTTCTATATAAAGACGAAATATTACCAAATGAAAATCTAGCCTTAGAGACAAATTATTCTCAACCTTAATTTTTAATGGATTAACTCATATTATCTTTTTTATATAGTAGTACTATATAGTATAGTAGGCCAAAAAGTCACTTCTAAGAAGAGGCCTATGTCCAACAGTGGACTGTTGTAGGCTGTTGATGATGATAATAATGATGAAAACAAGTTTCTTTTGCTTTCCTTCCTTTCAATATTTTTAATGTTTCTATGTAAAGGTGTGTCTTATCATGTTTGCTATATAATAATATATTTCATTTTTACTTACATGTGATCTCCAATGTTTCAATTTCTTCGCTGTTGCCTACGTCATTGTACACAATACACTTGATAGTAGCATCATGATATTTTCTTGTTATGTTGTATATTTTCTGTTAAATCAAATATTTTCACTTAGTTCATCCTATCCTTTATCAGACATTGTTCAACACATTTAATTAAAAACATTTTTATAATTTACAGTATTTTTTCATTTATAATATTAAACAATGTACATATAATATTGAAAGTATGCTTACCAATTCAGTTGTATTTCCTTCAATCAACTTTTCATTTAAAAACCACTTGTAAGTTAGATTTGATGGATTTGCATCTGCTTTGCAGGCTGTTGAAATGACATAATAAGTGAAAGTTTTATATAAACGTTTATTAGAACTATATGGAATAGATCTTTCATTTATTAACTATACGTAGGAAAATCTTCATAATTCAAAGTGTTATAAAGATTTATTTTACAGTCATGGTATTTAAAAAAGGTTTGTCTTGGGAAAACCTTCTAAGGTTCCTCAGAATACAGAATTAAAAGACATATAGAAAGTAAAATGATATACTTAGTTACCGTCGAAGTAATCGCTCAATTGTGTTTATTTACCTATAAACATTGAAATTACATTTTCGCTTACCTATAACGACATCATTTCCTTCAGGAATTTTTCCATTGGCACCAGATTTGATAATCATTTTCACTTTTGGGGCATATTTTACCTGTTAACAATATTTTGATAAAGTTCTCAACTGTGTTTAAACTATTAAAGTTTTTTGTTATAATTCATTTATAATTTTTTTCATAGCATATATTAGTACTGTAAGGAGGCATTTTATCTGCTTTGGTTTTGTTCCTTCAAACAGACCGATACTTGGGTCTATTGTATAGCTAGGATATAAGCAAAAAAAAGAAAGCCCCGAAAATCCTTCAAACAGTTTCATAATGTTTATTTGTTTAATAATAATACTAAATTTATTTTCAGACATTAGTCCATAAATATGTTAGTAACAGTAATCTTACAACTATGTTAGTTCTACATTAACACAAAAACAAATTAAAAAATAAATCGTGGGGATGCGCTAGCATGCAGACGCATCCACCTTTGTAGGATTGGAAGATCCCACCTCTCGGACAATACTCTCAGTTTAGTACAATATAAGGATTTTACATACATTATTAGTTACAGTTTGACATATCTGGTAAAATAAAGTTACAAAAACACATTTAATTACCAAAATCAACGTATATAATTTTATGGCTAAAAATTAACATTGTTTCAAATATTCTCTAGCCACGACAATATGACCTGGTCGAAAGGAGCCAACGAGCAGACAGGCCAACTAATATTTAGTAGCTACTGCCACCCTTGGCATCTGGAAGTCAACAGTTTGTGACTCCTGAGTTGCAGATGTTCATGGGTGGCGATGCTCACTTTCCATCAGGTGACCCGTCTGCTCGTCTACCCCCTCTAACATAAAAAGAAAAATATAGATGCATCCACCCTTTAAGATGTGAGTACGCGCTCTTTCTTTAAAGGTTCAAAGATTCAGTCCGAAAATATCGCTAGCGACAATTCATATCAATTATATAAAACAAACCTATATTTGAAAAACATAGCAAAAAGTTTCAATTAGGGACAAAAAATAAATTATGCACTACCCAAAAAAAAATTACGATCAAGAAAATGGTCGCAACAGTTTTACGTGTACAAACGGCAAGTATTTCAGTATCAAAGCAATATCATAGCACATCTGATCGTAAAAAGTAATTGGGTTCGCCATAAAAAGGGGTTTTATTTTATGGGCAACGAAAAAATACATGATAAACATACAAGGCTTACTTGTCATAACAACAGTTCCTATGTCGAAAGACTGGATGTGGTTGAATTAGAGCGTGGAAATAACATATTAAGGGGTGCTGATGTGAATATAGAGAGGCAAGAAGAGACTGTTGAAGTAGAAGCTGAACATTACAGAAAGTTATTGGTCATTACTGTGCTTGTTATAGTAGCTATATAATGCCAATGTCCATTTCATATCTTATAGATAACATAAATAAATTGTAATGTCCTAATTATTGTAAATATAGATGACGTAGCAGATAATTTTTTTTATTTGATTTTTGAAATTCCGGAAAAAGAACAGTTACAAAGAAAATTGCTAAAGAAATTTGAAAGCTGTTAAACTATGGTTAAAATTTTATAGACTGATGGATCACAAATCAGGTTTACTAACTGCCAGACTAATAGGCCATGGTCTAATGGTTAGTAAAGCTGGCTGATGTCTTGGGTTCGATTTCCAATTGTGCGATAATCACGATTAATAGTTCTGTACCTAGGTATAATTTATCTCTATCACGTTTGTCATCAGAACTATGTAAATATTTATCTGCAGTTTGGCACGGGCTCTAATTAGTTTGAAACCGACGGCTGTGTAAGTTGTATAAAAAATTTTTGTATTAAAATTAGAGTTTAGTCCTAAAATAAAGACAACTTTTATTCGTGTGTTTCTCAGCAAGATCAGAATGTATCCAGAAACATACATCCAAGTAAAACAATAAGCCAAAACGTAATATTAAAGGCAGAGAAATATATTAATATTAATGCCACATCCAGTTTCAGTGTAGTCACGACCGGAATAGTAATTTCCTACCGAATTTCGAGGACGACAATAATTTTTACATCGTTACGTAACATTGATCAATGTATATGTATTTTTATGAACCAGTGAACGTATCGTAAGTTATGATGGAACATCTTAATGGTTTCGTATTGTTGAAAGCTGATAGATTCAGTTTAGTAGGAAGTTGTACAGTTATTGATTACGTAATGCGTATGATTATTCATTTCAGCAATATATTACTGCAGAAAAACTAATAAATACATGAAGTATTTAGTGATTGAAAATAAATATAATAAATTAGTAAAATGATCGTGAAAATTAATATATATATATATATATATATATATACATATATTGATGGGATCAAAACGGCTAAATGAACCTTTGGGAACATTCCCATACTATATTTGGATAAAAAATTCTTCATAGCTTTTCTGTAGCTTTTACGATACTAGGATAGACGACATTAAATAAAAAAGAAAGAGAAAGAAAGAAAGAACACTGCTAGAGTTATAAGATGGATATAGGTAGTTTCGGAAATTAAAGCAATTTGCTTTCAATCCATCTTTTCAAACAGCATCCTCCTCTACTCCTACTATTGCATTCCCTTTTTGCCTTTTTGATATATTTCAATTTTTCTCATGTGATTCCTAGAGTACCCGGTTTAGGTCTGCCTTTTATGCCGTAAATGGGACTAAAATTAGCGAAAAAAGTTCATACAGCTTTAGTACAATCTGTATGATTTTGAAATTGTTTACCAACGATTTATTCTTATAGTAAAAAACACCAATCATCAACTAGATTTCTCAACAATATCCATCTCGATATCAACACAAACAATTTCTTTAAGGATAGCAATATTATTTATACGAGGAAATACACAGTCTAAAAGTTTACTACGGGTTGAAAGATAGCAAATAGCTACAACTCGAATTTTATCTCAATATTTTCTGAGAGCCCATACTGAGGGGTGTTGATGATTGCTTCACATAGAGTTACGCAAATGTAAGAAGACATTTTATTTTTGGACAAATAATAATAAAACTTAGGTAAACGGTCACTGTAAATAACACAAATATTTTGCAAAATCTATCAATTTAAACGTAGCGTGTAACTTTTTATGAATATTTTATCTATCGCACTTAAACTGAATGTTTGTTTTGTGTTTATAGGTTAAGCAACATCTTTACTATTTGTGAAAGGATGTAATTTTTTATTGAATTTGTTATACTCAAGGCCGTTCCAATTTGAATAGCCCTAAAAATGGAACATTAAGAGGTTAAAAAATACAGCTCAGCAAAATATATCATGATTTAAGTGCATTAACTTATGTAATACTTTTCTTAAAATTTATTTTTAACTGATTGAAGTGAATACCGAAATCAGATAATTTTATAAGGGAAGATATTAACCAGTCTTCTACACAAATATTAATCAATCTACACAATGAATCTTTCAGTTTGTTCCGAAAATTTTCTTAGCTCCTTACTTTGGAAGTGGGTTTCAGGGAATGCCAAACAAGACTGGAATAAATAAAGAGATCAGAGTATATTACAAAGTAGGGATCCAATGTGGGATTGTAACGTATTTTCCTAATTGAGAAGGGGAGAATCTAAATGAAATAGGGCGGAGACGCACTAGTATCTTTCCTTATGAAGTAAAATGAAATTAGTAGGTGGCATTTGTGGTAATGTATTCTGCTTTCATTGATTGCACTTTGTAATAATTGGCCTCCTCTTACCTCTGAAGGTTACTATTAATCATTTTGGATTAATTAATAAAGTTACTTTTTCAAACACACACTTTTTTTTTTTGGTTTCTCTCCTTTATGCTTGGTGCTCAGTTTTTGTATGTTCTAGTGATATTGAAATCATTTTTCTAACTTTCAAATTTATTGAGAATTTTCTTTAATTTTTCATATTATTCGTATTTATTCTCCTCTTTTCAATAATTTTATTTAAAAAATGTTTTAAAGTTGTTTTATCATTACTAATTTACTGATAACTCAGACTTTATCAACAGTCTTAATCAGAAGCAAATAAGAAAATAGGGCTATTAATAAGACGTAAAAGTTGATTGCCAAGTAAAATTGATATTTCTGGTATAATTGTGCATTCAACAAACGCAGTGATATTCACTACACTTTCTTGGCATTACTAAATCAAGTCGTGTCGCTACCGGCAAACGGTGACACGTATCTCGCTAGCGCCGGTGTCCTGTCGCAATTCGCAATATTTTCGGACATTCGCCCTGATTTATATAGTTGGCTATGTTTAAATTATTTAACTAAATTTACACTGTTTTGTACCTTATGATTGATTAACTTAAGTAAGGGGATATAGTCAACAACTTCTGACACATTTAGTAACTTATTTCAGTCGTAAAGCTATTAATGAATTGAAATTCTTACCTCAATTTGTATACTAGCAGCTCTGTAAGCCCTGTCAGCAGTATTTTGTGCTTGACACGTGAACGTCTGATTGTGATGTTCTTGCTTAGGTGTCATTTTGATGATTGATCTAGTTAAAAAAGAAGAACAGTTCTTTAGTATCATCAGATTAATTTATAAAACCAAAAAAATCTCATAATTCTTATTCATTTAATTTCTTCGTATACATATTCTCTAAAACTATAACGTGTTTTATAAATTTCTGAAATTTAAGTCATAACAACAAAAACTCACCTGGCAGTAAATCTTTGACCGTCCGGCAAAGGTTCCACGGTATATGTGACTCCTTGAGTAAGGACACCGGCATTGCTGTCCACCCATGTGATCTAAAATAAGAACAAAATATTAAAAAGCTACACAATTGATACTGAAAAAAAAAACTATTATTTTAAATATATATGTATACAGACAGATCCTTAAATATCTAAATAAATCTAAGGTTAACAATCTACCAGGCATTTTTTTAAATCTTAAAATAAACAAATTAAAAAGGCCGGCAACGCGTTTGTGACTCCTGAGTGGCATGCGCTCATTTCCATCAGGTGACCCGTCTGCTCGTTTGCCCCCTCTTCCATAAAAGCAAATCGTTTACAACATAATCAACATCCTTATTTATCTTTAGTACAAAACATTATATGTTTCTTCCCCAAATTCTAATCTCATCACAACATTACTCTGGACAATTCCAATTCTTAATAATGAAATATATGTGCAATGAAAACGTTGCAACCTCCTTGGACTCACAATACGGTATCTACAGCATTTTCAATTTAACTCCTAATTGTACTTAGGTCCCTCGGGTCGTATACCTATTCACTCCACTTGAGAAGCTTAAATAGAATATTCTCTTGCATAATACCGGTACAAACAAATTGACACAGCGCTAAATAAATTGGACAGACACCCGTCCCTAAGGATTTGTCCATGTAAATTGGCGTGTATATAATTTTTTTATTATTTTTTTGTCGGATTTCAGTAAGATGGCAAACAGGCTTATTAAAGGGCATTGCTTGTACGTTTTTATGGCTTTTCTGAAGGTAATTATTCGACCAAACAAAGTATTAAGCGAGAACGTAAAAAAGTTTAAAAATATTTACAATTTTGTAATCTCTAAAATGGCAAGCCTGTGCATAGTTTGACTTGGTGGCTATTCGTGTCTTTAGCCACTAAACTACCAACGCCAATACTCAAGTGGCGAAGACAATACACAAGAGCTTTTGCCTGGGGTTACTTGGAACTTTCACCTTCTCATTTTTTGGGCAAACGACACTTAATGTCCTTTAATGTTTATAAATTGTTATAATTCGTTAAAGAGTTAAGCCTAATATCGTAACTAACAAACTTACATTCACATCTTTAATATTGGTTAAAGTTCTAAGCCCTACTCGAGGAGATTTAGCTACCCTATTTATCAGCAAATGACAGCTAGCTGTTATCTTGTGAAGGGCTTGTTAAGACTTAACTTCAGCGAATCAATTTAAATTCGCTTTTAAAGGTAAAGTGACCCTGAAGCGGACGATCGCTTTAACGCATGATAAAAGTTGTGTCGAGTCCTAAACTAATAACAATAACTTCACACATCTTACACATGGTAGTGTAATCCCCAACTAGGCAGAGCCTGTGCTATGTGCAGATTGATCACACTTAAATATTTCTAAATACATACATATCTATAGTTATTCTATAATGAGTTTTTTTGTATATTTGTTTGTTTGTTAAGCTTTCACGCCTAAACCACTAAACCAATTTTTAAATTCCTTTCACCTATGGAAAGCTACATTTTTAGCGAGTAAGCGGAGCCGCGAACAAGGCCAGTAATAAATAAAAAACACCCAGGAATAGAACCAATGATCGTGTTCATCACACAATTATTTGTCCTGGGTGGGAATAAAACCCACTACATCCGGCTTAGCAGCCAGGGTCACTAACCACTAGATCAATAAGCTTATAAACAAGTCGGATATTTCCAAAATACAGACGTGAGTTGAGTGAGCTAATTTGAATTTTAGTTGAGTCACAAACGCGTTGCCGGCCTTTTTAATTTTTTCATTACTAATTTGTTTAATTTGCAACCTCACATCACATCGACAGCCTTTACTAGTCCACTCCTGGACATAGGCCTCTCTTTAGAAAGGAGGTTTTGGCCTACTATACCACGCTGGCCAGACGGGTTGGTATAGGATTTCCCATGGAGGAGGTTGTAGAGACGATCCAGTAATGGATCAAGTCTCCAACCTCCTGGTCCAGACGAACCTGAACCACTGTGCCGCGGCGCAGGATCTCTTCCTGCAAACCATGGCACAGTGGTCGATAGGTGTTGCCGTAGTCGCGGAGCCCTATTCTGTCCCTCCCCGTCCAAACTGGATGGGTGACTGGGACGGCTCCGTGGCAGTCGTCGGTTCCACGACGGCTCATTCCCCGCCCTTGTCGCTAAGAGACAAGGGCACTGGATATGTTGCCGTCGAGTGGGGGGGGATCACCATATATGGTGTCTATTTCTCCCCCAACCGGAGTTTGAACGACTTCGAGGTTTTCCTGACCAGCTTGGAGACCTCGATACGGCGACTAGCGTCTGGGCACGTCCTTGTGCTGGGGGACTTCAACGCAAAGTCCATTGCGTGGGGTTCCCCCAGGACGGACGCCAGGGGCGAGGCCGTAGAGGAGTGGGCGGCCTCGGTGGGCCTCTGTCTTCTAAACAGAGGCTCCACCAACACGTGCGTGCGACAGCAGGGGGGGTCGATAGTGGACCTCTCGTTCGCTACCCCTGCCCTCGCCGCACGAGTAAGGAACTGGCGTGTCCTGGAAGAGGTTGAGACGCTCTCGGATCACCTGTATATCCGATTTGAGCTCTCCCGGACCCAGGACTCCAGTAGGGGTCACGTGGCACGGCGTTTATCCCGCTTTCCGCGGTGGGCTGTTGCCAGGCTGAACCGGGACCTACTAGAGGAGGCAGCCATAATTCACTCGTGGCTGTCTCCTCAGGCTCCGACCGAGGAGGTCGACGTGGGGGCTGGCCGCTTTCGCGATGCGATTACGCATGTATGCGATGCGGCCATGCCCCGCGTTCGAGGTCGTCGGCCTCCAAGGAAGGAGGTCTACTGGTGGTCCCAGGAGCTGGCGGACCTCCGTGCGGCCTGTACACGTGCCCGGAGGTCCTACACGCGCAGTCGGCGGCGTCACCGTGGAGACGGTGAGGAGGACCGGCTTCATGAGGAGTACCGACGGGCTCGGAAAACTCTGAAGCTGGCCATTAGCCGCGCCAAAGAGGAAAAGAGACAGGAGATGCTGGAGGGTCTTAATCGTGACCCCTGGGGTCGCCCTTACCGCGCGGTGCGACAAAAGCTCCGCGCGTCGGGCCCCCCCCCTTACGGAGACTCTCCAGCCCAGCTTCCTGCGAGAAGTGGTTGAGGGCCTTTTCCCACAACGAGCGGAACACACTCCCCCGTCGATGGCCTCCCTGGCCGGAGACGACGGGGAGCACGGGGAGGACAATGTTCCGCCCGTCCGGGATTCGGAGGTAGGGGCGGCTGTTCTACGGATCCGTTCCAAGAACACCGCCCCTGGGCCAGACGGGGTACCGGCCCGAGTGCTGGCCCTGGCCCTCAACCACATGGCAGACCGCCTCGGGGAGGTGTTCGACGCTAGCTTGGCGTCGGGACGCTTCCCTGAGTGCTGGAAGAGCGGGAAGCTGGTCCTACTGACGAAGCCGGGACGGCCTGCCGATTCGGTCGCGGCCTATAGGCCCATCGTGCTGCTGGACGAGGCGGGCAAATTGTTTGAGAGGGTTCTTTCTGCCCGCATCGTCCGGCACCTCTGCGAGGTGGGCCCCGATCTGTCGGACGCCCAATTTGGTTTTCGGGCGGGGCGTTCGACAGTCGACGCCGTGTTGCGCCTGAGGGCCGTGACCGAAGAGGCCGTGAGCTGTGGCGGCGTGCTGTTGGCGGTGTCATTAGACATCGCCAACGCATTCAATAGTCTGCCATTCAGCTGCATCAGGGAAGCACTCCACTATCATGGGGTGCCAAAGTACCTGAGGCGGCTGGTGGCAGACTATTTAGAGGAGCGTACCGTCGTGTACGAGGACCGAGAAGGTAATCTGAGGTGTCGGCCCATGTCGTGCGGTGTTCCACAGGGGTCTGTTCTTGGACCCCTCTTGTGGAACATAGGGTACGACTGGGCCCTTCGCGCCGATTTCCCCCCCGGGCTGGGTGTAATCTGTTACGCAGACGATACCCTCGTGACAGCCCGGGGGGCAAACTTCCAAGAGGCGGCGCGCCTGGCCACAGGGGGAGTCTCCCTGGTGGTCGGGCGCATTGAGGCGCTGGGCTTACGGGTGGCCCTAGATAAGACGGAGGCCCTGTTATTCCATGGGCCCCGTCGTGGTCCACCCCCTGGCGCCTCAATAGTGGTCAACTCGGTCCTCGTACCGGTTCGGGCCCAGATGAAATATCTGGGCCTGATCCTCGACGGGAGGTGGCTCTTCGACGAGCACTTCCGACAGCTTGCTCCAAAGCTGGTCGGCGCTGCGTCTGCCCTAGGGCGACTTTTGCCCAATATGGGTGGACCCAGCGTCGCGACAAGACGGCTGTACACGGGGGTTGTCCGGTCAATGGCACTGTACGGTGCACCGGTGTGGGCGGCGGCTCTGACCGCCCAGAATAGGGTACGCCTCTGGCGCCCTCAGAGGGTAATGGCGGTCAGAGCCATACGCGGTTACCGCACCGTTTCGACGGAGGTGGCATGCGCATTGGCCGGAACTCCCCCGTGGGATTTGGAGGCGGAAGTGCTCGCCGAAGTTTATCGGCGAGTGGCTGACTACCGGGCGGAGAGCGGATTTCGCCCTCCGCCCGAGGATGTGCGCGAGTGGCGCGAAGCCGCTCGCCGAGCCACGATGGCTCGTTGGTCGTTCCGGCTGGAGACTCCACGCGCTGGCTTCGCCGCCGTGGAGGCTCTCCAGCCGGTCATCGCCGAGTGGGCAGGGCGGCAGCACGGGACCCTTTCCTTCCGGCTGACGCAGGTGCTTTCCGGGCACGGTTGCTTCGGAAAGTACCTGCACACGGTCGCTAGGAGGGAACTGAGTCCCGCCTGCCACCACTGCGACTGCAGTGAGGACTCGGCCCAGCACACGCTGGCGGTCTGCCCCGCATGGGCGGCGCAGCGCCGGGCCCTCACTGCAGTCATCGGAGTGGATCTCTCGCTACCGGCCGTAGTACGCTCCATGGCCGGTAGCGACAGTTGTTTTACCGCGGTCGCATCCTTCTGCGAGGTAGTAATCTCGCGGAAGGAGGCGGCGGAGAGGGCCCGGGAGGACGACCTCCACTCGGACCCGATCCGCCGCCGGCGAACCGGGCGGCGGAGGCCCGCCTACCACAGCCTCATGCCGCCCTGAGTGTGGCCGCGGGTGGACGGGGTGGGTTTCCCCTCCACCCGCATTAGTTTGGCCAGCCGCGAGGGGGCGGCGTCCGCGTGTGCCGGACGTCGCCTAAAGAGAGGAACAAAAACATTGAGACGGAGCCCGCACCAGGAGCGGGCTGGCGCTAGGAGGGGTCCGGATGTCTTAACAACAGCTGTTCCCGGATCCCTCCTGTTACAGGCGCAGAGTGGCACACCGTGTGGTTTTAGTCGGTCCGAGTCCGACACACCACCCCGCCGCAAACCCCGGAGGGGTGACGGTCCGAGGGGATTTCCACACGTTAAAAAAAAAAAAAAAAAGGATTTGTGTCAAGTTTTCCTTCTCTCCTTATTTGCAACCTAATCGTTTCTAATTTTATTGCGCAGAGTTGCGAAACAAGTGCGGCAATGGCACTTTGTGTTACTTATATGTAGGTTTAGTGGTCCTTGCCACTAAGTTGATACTTTTTGCAAAGCCTGGAATAAATTAAATTCCAGCACATTTGGTTCTCGTACACACGACAGTAAATAACTTTATCAAAGCAATTTACTAGAGCTACATGTTCCCTCATAATTTTTGTGCCGTTTTTATTTACTGCTTATAGTTTCGATATGAGGAAAACGTGTATCTCATATTTTTCATTCGGCAGCAAATAGGTCAATTTTACTTCGAGTGCCTTGGAAGTTTTCATACGATCTCGACAGTATTAATAGAAAAAAACAGGTATGAATAATATGATAAAAAAATAGTCTTAAATACTCACGGGTGCCTAAATTTAGCTGTCATATTTGTGGAATAATATACTACTGCTAACTAACTGCTAACTCTGAAGCATTTGTTCTGACCCTTATTTTTAGTGCTGTTTAACTTCACGTACTGTCAGCTATACAGAGACCTCAAAAACAGATATCCAGTAGTTTCTTATTCAATATTTATAACGTGCTTAATTGATTGAATAAATTTTTCATAAAATTTAATTTATTTACTGTCAACCCAGCGGAATATCCAACATCCAGTATTTTGCAGAACATTCTAGATAAATGATAGCAAAAACTGACTGTAATGTACCAACAGCCATAAATTAAGGCCGTTGTTCCAAAAAGGTTTCATTACAATAAATTTTAAAAGCTTTTTCATGGAAAAAAAAAACAGATCGGCGCTAAAGTAGGTGTGCGAATTATTAAGAAAAATGACGAAAATATGAATAGGTCGAGTATTACACTGGCAAGCCCGTGAAATTCCATTTAAGTAGCGACATTGATTAATTAATATTATCAGGGCTCACAAACTGGGGTGACAACGGAGAAAATATCGCTCCAGAAACATTCGTAACGACTTCAATTAGTTTTGGTTCAGCCCTACTAAAATTTATGATTGCAGTTTAAACATTTATGACGAAAATGTAAAACATAGATATTATTCTTTTAAGCAACCATCTTCAAGGAATTGAAGTCGATTGACTGGGGACTAACAGCACCTGTGTTATGGTTTTGGATTTGTGTCTTTCATAGAGGATTATACGATCGTGTAATCTCACACTTCGTAGAGAGGTGGAGTTACAAACTTCTGCGTAAAATTAGCTAAGTGTCCGTAACGGTATACCACAAGTTTTTCGGTGAAAAATGTAAAGAAAATTATTTGCACTCTTTTTTAAATGAATATAACGGATTAAAGCAAGAAATTGCTGTAAAGGAAATAAAATATGAAAAAACTGTAACATAAAACTACAGGAGGTCAGTATACGAGTACTAAACTCCTATAGTATATGTTACAGTTTATACAGTATATATACATATATGTTAACTTATAATGGTAAACCTCCTTTCTAATAAGTGGCATATGTCCAGCACTAGACTATTAAAGGCTGTTGATAATAAAACTATTTCCAAGTATACTTAAAAATCATGTTTGTTTATATTTAACGCACTCATTTAATAGAGCTTGTTATTTTGTACAGTTACGATTAAAAAACAGTAATATTTCCTGTCAGGTGACCGTGGCAATCATTAACCTACAAAATTTACACTTAAATAAACAAGTAATTAATAAATAAATCCTTACCTCGGCGGGCGGTTTTCCACCAACAGACACACACTCGAGCTTAATGTTCCTGTCTTCTATCGTCGAGAAGAAACTACCTTCGACGATGCGCGGCGGCTCAGGCGGAACTAGCACGGTAAGCCGGGCGTATCTCGATCGAATCGCCTGTTCACCTGTCACATAGAGTTTTAATTTATATCTGGGTGTACGTTTCAAGTTTCTGTAGAAAGTATTCGATATAAAATTATTAAGAGGATTAAAATGGCGGACGACAATTTATTTTGCGATTACGTGAGCTAAGTGTCTATTCGCCTTTGTGTTGAAATATAGTCAAATTTTTATGTATTAATCTTCTGTGTGATTAATTCAATGCGTTGTCTGGGCATAAACCCAGCATCACTTGGACTACAGGTTCAAGAAAACAGATAATCATACCTACATGCAGTTTTTTTTTGTACGAGTTTCTGCCCATGTATGTCATTTATCGTGATAAAGTGTAAACCTATTTCCTTCCTCAAGAATCAAACTATCTCCCTATCAAATTTAATCTAAATATTTCAGCGGTTATTGATTCCCCATAAAAACTTTCACCCCCCTTTGCAGCACTTAAAGGACGATTTCTGGGATGAAAACTATTCTATTTCCTTTCCCGGAACACAAACTATCTCTATACCAAATTTCATCTGAATCGGTTAACCAGTTTAAGTGTGAAGAGGTAACGAGGTAACAAACAGATAGACACACTTTCCCATTTATAATATTAGTATGGATATACTCGTACATGTATAGACAGAAAACAGTAAAGGACCTCAAATAATTTTCAGTTTAACTATTTTTGTGGTTGATTTAAAGACGGACTATGTTCTCTTCAAAATGATTGTAGATACGAGTATTATCGATCTATATCGTAAAGCGACTGAAAGAGATATACTTCCAAGAAACGGCTTGATTCGCTTAATTCTACATTTTGTCAATGAATTCAACTTTTACGTTGTTTTGTTTTCTGGATAAGAGGTATTTTATCTTTCTTCCTGGCAATGTGAAAGTGTAACAAATACATTCCTGTTCTCATTTGATTCAACCAATATTATTAGTTAAGATGACATAGTTAATGTTGAGAAAGCTAAAGATTATGATAAAAAGTGACTAGTCTGACGTGCTAATGATGATTAGTGGTAGCTCGCCCTCACATCTGTCTACTAATGGTATCAAATTACCAGCAATTCATCTGTTAAGCTGTAGAGATTATGGTGATATTCGTACGAATTACTGAATATCCAATATACCTAATGTTAGTTATGTTTATACTTATTGCACTCACATTGTATGAAAAATATTTGCATTGTTTTGTAAAACTGAAGATTTAAAAAAGTATTTCAAAAATACCACTCAAAAATCAACAGGATTTCAGAATAATGCGTGTAATATATTCAACATTTGATTTGAATAAAACTTTTGACTCAAAACATTCCTATTCTTTTGCAAATATTTCTTCCACTTTATGTAGATCTAAGAATCTTTTATTGTAAAGTTTGATTTTAAAAAATTAACTAGCATACTGATACTACATTTTAATTATTCAATATAGACAAAAGTACCCAGTCTTTTTATTAAACAATATAAAAGTAAATAAATTGTCAGTGCTACAGAACGAACAATAACAAAAATATTTATACTGTTTCTCTTCTTACTATTACTACTAAAGAATAACTGTCTTTAATGTGTCTGAATCATGATAAATATTTAGTAAACAATATTCGTAATTATAAATAAATAATTTAAATATACACAGTATTTTTTATGTTATCGTCCCAGCACAAATGTTCAAAATCTGTATTTATCTCACTCAGAACACGAATTTAATAACTTCCCGGCGAGGAAGTTTGTAAATTCGTGGTTGCAAGAATCCCCTGGATCACAATTTAATACAAGAGTGGGGTAGAGACAATGGCTCGACATGCCTTCGAATAGTTCCTGTAGAAGTTAAGAACAAAGTTTATGAAGTTAAATAGTGCAAAGTTGTACAATTTAGCCGCAAGATGGTTGTCCATTGTGCTCTTTCGCTGATAAAAAACAAAGTTCGTACTAGAAGTTTCATGTAAATCATGGACCTTTTACTAAAGTTGGTGGGATTGGAATTAATTTGATATTTCCGTGGTGTCTTTTCTTTAGACTTGCTAAATATTATGTATTGAATTTTCCATCGTTTCTTTGAGTTCCATACGATAGAATAATAAAATTCAGTGTAAATATCTGTCACAGCCAATTTGTTCTAAGTCTAGTCCGTCGATTAAATTTAAATTTAAATACATGCATTCCTGTGATGCTAATATAGACGTGTAAAGTAAATTATTATTAAGTATAATAAAGAATTATTTTTAAAACGATTGACACTTTTGACAAAGTAAATTAGAAAATTATAAAGATATAAGAACATTTTTATGATTTAGCCTAAAATTTTGAAGAAAAAACACAGTTAAGGCTTTTTTTACTTATACTTCAGGAAAATTCGACCAACTTTATTGTCTGAAAAACGTAGTCTACTAGTATTTTGGGTACCTACATTAATTGTGCAATTGATTGTACCAAATCCACACTACGAGAGATTCTCTGTACACTGGTCGGTTGGATTTTGCATACGTTATAAACTGTGCGATAAAAATCACGATTAAATTAGGATAATTCCAATTTTTATAACAACTCGAAATGAAAAAAACAAAAAAGTGATCCAGAATTTTTTATTACAAACGAAAATGAGAGTTTTCCTCAACTGACTGCCGACAGCGACAAAATGTTTTAAATAATTATTCAGTTTCATTTATTTCAATCTGAAACCAACTTGCTTAAGGAATTATTCCGAAATAGGTGAAAACACAATAACACGCAAAATCATTTTACTATAAATGTATTAGATTATTAATAAAATTGAAACTTACTCTTGAAACAAAAGCTGAATAGCATATAAAAACCGTCTAAGACAAGATAAGAATACTAAAAGAGACATTTCAAAGGAAAGAGAAATTTATCAAAGGTTACGTGACTTACAAAGAGCTATGTAAATTAATGTTATAGACCTTTTCGTTTGCATTTGAACAGAGTCTTGCCACTCGAGGCTAAAAGGATCGAAGTACTTGAAATCTCTGAGTGAGCTTATAATAAATTCGTATTTATATTTCGGGATAATGATAGTGAAATTAATTTAAATGATACTTTCAGAGTGGAGATGTAAAGCGCAATTGAATAAGACGTTTCTAGATGAAATCGCTTAGGTGATCAACAATATAAAGTTGAGCAGCTGTTGTAAGTGGAAATGACCGATTAATCACTTCGATAATCTCAAAGGAAATGTCTAAGGAAACCGTGGGATAGAAGTTTGATTTCAAAAGTAACCAAACACTTTATCTACACCATTGATTAGTTACGATATATTCTTATAATAAATTTATAATTATATTTTCGAATCTGATTTTAGTGAAATATACAGCAAAGTTTTTAGTACAATTGTAAAGGTGGAATTAAATACAGCAGTTTAATATGCTAATTCTAAAATGAAAGCAAGCCTAAAATAAATGATATTCAGTTTAGAACGAAAAAGGGTAAGTAAGGTAATAAAGGTAAAATGGTAGATGGTGGGGGTTAGAGAATGAATTTGTTTTTATTTTATTTGAAGAACAACTTCCGCATTAGGAATATATATCCTGTGCCGCAGGGGTTTTACAAACACATATGAAACGGACACAAAGAACACCCAAACTCAGAACAACAATTTGTGGATCACACAAAGTGGTATCCCATGTGGGTATCAAACCAACACACTCAGCGCAGTAGGAAGCGTCGTGGCTACCTCTTAAACCACTACGCTATCTGTACAGTCTCTTGTCTAATTGTGATACCTCACAAACCGAAATATTCATTAAATAAAAGGAAACGTTAAAAAATAAACCGAATCATTTCTCTTCAGTGAATCACTAATTTAAATGCACAAGGAAAACTTTTTTTGTGTTTTTTCTTCCACTTAATTTGATTAAATGATCCGATGTAGATGGAATAATGAATAATGCTTTGTTTCTGTACTGTTTCTGTATTTTGTGTTATATATTCAGAAATTACTCGCATGTTCTTTAATGTTCTTTATGAAAATCTTTGATAATTTTGTATCTTATTAAGGAAACTCCATAAAACGCCTCTTTTTCTTTTGGAAGGGCCATTCACTAGCTGGCTAAATCTCCACAGAGGATAGGATCCGGCTAGGGTAGCTCATACATTACTTAATTTTACTGAGCGACCCAATAACGAACAGAATCTGACAAATCTGTGCTAAATCCTTGACCCTATAGGGCAACAAATAGGAACCAGATGAGATCAGGATACTAAAAGAAGATGCAAAAAAACAGTAAGGGCCGTACGTTCTGGGAGATTTTTACAAACATTGCAAGCATTAAAAATAAAATGTTTCGTAACGAAGATATTTGTTTTTTTTTAATCCTAGCAAACACGTCCTTTGAAAAACTGTAGTAGAAGGAAACAGAAAAATCGAAAAGCGAGGGCATGAAAACCGGGCAGGAATAAAGTCAAGATTTTCAATTTATTAAAAGCAAACACAATTTCGCAGGCCCCAGCTCAAGTACGAAAACAATAGTTACTTGCCTCGAAAGAATTATCTTTGGTATGTGATACAAGCGTATAGCGATTACTGCATAATAAACGTTTACGTATTTCAAACTACAGCTATGCATAAAAATCATTCTACTTTATTGGTTACAAAATTCAATGCGATCTGTAAAGTTACTAAAACTTTGAAATTGATAATAATTTAAAAACAAACTTTAGCAATTGTTCACGAATAAATTCGATATTAATGCAAAATATTATAGGAGGCCTTGTGTTCAAAATCTCGTAACCTTTGAGATTAAGCGAATCGTTTATTACTAAGTTACACGACGTTAAACATAATACGAGAATTATTTTTGGTTGAATAGAGACTCGAAGATTATGAAAATGAATATGTATGGCGGGGTTTGGTGGCCGCATCTCGGATCTAAAGATTACTTAAATTATAACAGTGGGTGAAATTTGTAGGTACCAAAGAATTTTAGTCCAAGATAATTATTTTTAGCTTGCTACAATTAATACTGCTATATAAAAATAATTAAGTACAAGAAAAAGGGTGAAAAATATTCATTTGAAAATAAAAAAAGGGTGGTTATTAGTCCCTGAACGTATTTTAGTACATAATTCAGGGGCTAGTTTCAACTTATCTTCACTCTTTTCAATTACGGATTTGGCAGTGTTCCAAATGGACGGAACGGAAGAAATAGAATTCGGAGACATCCAAAGAAATGCCATAGAGTTTCATGGTAGCTGCATCGACGTATTCTCTTTTATATTGTAGCCGTAATCAAGTCTAAGTAATGCTATCATCTGCTCTATTATTTCCCCCGAGGCTTGAATAGAAGTAGTGGCAATTCACGTTGTTTTATATTTGAAATTGTGACTCTATTCGGATACAATTATACGCGAGTAATAAGGAATTAACACAAACTTAAATTTTCTTTGATTTTATACAAGTGCAATTATGTGAGTACCAGTATAGTAAATATGATAACTACCGAAATTGCAGAAGTGAGTTTGTAAAATGCACAATAATCTTTTAATTTAACCTAACGTAGATATTATTTTTGCTACCAAAATAAATATAATTCGGTGAAATGCTTGCTTTAAAAATATCAACAAATATTATAGTATGAGTGAAAAGAATCTAATCGTAATAAAACCTCATTTAAGTCACTGATATTATTAACTATGATTTATGAAATGAATTGTAAAATGTATTTGTTTTCGTAATTTGTGATTGAAATTCAGATACCAAAATATGATTGGCACTTAATAGCTTTAATACAGGATTAGGGTAAACCCCGCTAATCCTTTAGACCTTGGGATCCAAAAATATTTTTTACTTGCATGCGGCAACGCTAACAAGCGTCTGTTTGAACAGTACTGTATCGTAATTTTGTATACCTACCAAGCATTGATTTATTATTTTAAATTACACCACCGTGGGAGATAACTTTATTCGTTATTATATATTATCCGAAAGTACAAATTTGGGATCATTATTGGAAATAAATTGCTTCGTTAAGGAGTATATCGGTGGCTTTATAAGATATATGATATTTTGTTTTATAATTTGGTCAATTATTTTCATTCGAAAGAAGTGAAATAATAAGACCTTAAATAAGTTGAAGGCCGTGTGTTTGACTGTAATGTGTTCAAGGTGATTTTTTATTCTTGCAACAAATGACAGGTTATTTAAACCAGGTAGTTGATTTTTGGGCAAAACTTTTATTAAACATGTAAACTATACACGAGACGGATGAGTGGGATTAAACAATAACTTAAAGGAATATATCCTGTGTCGCGGGGGACTTTACAAACATACATGAAACAGACACAAAGAACACCCATACAGAACGACAATTTGTGGATCACACGAAGTGTCGTCCCATCTTAGGATAGAACCCACTACTCTCAGCGTAGTAGGAAGCGGCGTAACGACCGTTTAAACCACTACGCCATCCATACATATAAAATTACTTGCCCTGATTCAAAGCAGAGTCTAATCCAACGGGGCTACAGACTGAAATTTTAGCAGTTAGTATTTTTTATGTTGTAAGCCCTACTAAAAAAAGATTTTTGTAAATTTCACCTCTAAAGGGGTAAAATAAAAGATAAACGGTTGTATGGAAGTTAGTCATTTTCTAATTTAGAAACACGAAATAAGAAATAATTACGGGACCAATAACTAGTTTTTTTGCATAAAGTTAGCTCTCCCTTATATATCTCTTGTAATTAAAAAATTGATTTATATCCGTATGGTGACAGATTAAAAATACGGAGTGTCACCACCTCTATTCCTCCGCGGGTGTCGTAAGAGTCGACTAAGGGAGCATACTACATAGGACAACAGTACTGCAAAGAGAAGGAAAACTTGAAACAAAACCCTATACCAAACCGTCTGTCCAGCGTGGTAAGTCGGATAAAACCTCTTTTCTAAGGAGAAGCCTATGTCCAGCAGTGGACTATTAAAGGCTGTTAATGTGATGTGATGATGAATTGATTTATCAGTTTTAGCTAAGATCTTTGAGATTTAACACGTAGTTTCTCTAGTGTAGTAGTTTGCCTACTTTAGATATTTCACGAAAAATACGCGTAACTTATAATATGTTTGTGTATCAGCAATATCTATGCTAAAATGAAATGTAATCTATAATCTTTTATCTTACATATAGGAATCATAAATCAAATGTAATACGTACCGTTGAGCCCTGTGCTGACTTGGCACTGATACTTTGCATCATCATCCAACGTCACGTCCCTGATATCCAGTGAGTAATCACCTGGAAAGAAAGCGTCAATGACTACAAAATGGAAATCAGCATAAAAACTCAGTTATCATTAATGCTGAAGAAGCTAAAGTCAGGCACATGATAAATAAAAAAATAAAATGGAGCTCTTAAAATGTTGTGTTCTTAGGTATAAAAGATTTACAGTTATACTAATGTGTGTATTTATAAATAAATATATTCGGAAATCTGACACATAATGTCATCTAATTTCACTTGTTCTGTGAAAGTTAGATTGAGAGATAGAATCCTTTTTACATATTACACATTGACATAGAAAACACTCAAACTCCGAAAAAATATTTGCAAATCATACAAACAATTGGTCCAACTCAAGAATCGACCCCAGACCCCAGCACGGCATTCGCATACGCTACCACTGCACCATGGAGGCAATTTTTTTGGAGCTGTTTGCCTAGTTTCGGACCCGATGGGCGTCAATCTTTCGTAAATATAAGTCACTCCAACCAACGAAAGTTTCTCTTAGTTCCACTTAGTTTGAACCGAAATAGATCATTCAGTTGCTTATGTGTTGCAATAGTTACAAAGGAATACTGTTTGTTAAATAGGAATACGTTGCATTTCTAACAGACAGCTACTGTCTTTTAATAGCCTTACTATGTTCAATTTATCGAGAAGTGTTAAACACAGAGGGCTCTCTGAATTCCGCCTAGAAATTTCTACATATTAAAACTATTTTAATGTTTTTAAAGTCCATTAATATTTACCTCTTGATTTTATAACTTCAAGTGGTTTATACACTTTAATACTCTAACATATAGAATATTTACAGGCATGTAAAAAAAATCCTCCACCTCCTCGCCTACTTTTAGCTTTCCCAAAAGGCTTGCCATCGTTGAAACGCAACGGCTCGACTTTTACTCATGTAAAATGTAGTTCAAATATGAACACTTACCAAAATAATATTTAAGCGTACAGGGGACTAAAGTTTTTTTTTTAAAGTTATTCTGGCTTTATTACTAATTATAACTTAGAGAAAATAAGGCTTTGCAATTTAAAAATCCTTACTTCCATACTTTTATTATAAATCTGAAAGTTTTTTTTTCTTTGTTACGCTTTCATGCCTAAATAACTAAACCGATTTAAAAAATTCTTCACCAATGGAAAGCTACATTATCAGCGAGTAGCATGGTAAAAAAGTTGCCTTTTTAACGCGATAACCGACATACACGCGGGCGGAGCCACGGGAAATAGCTAGTCTTATATAATGGAGAAAAGAAAACTTTTCTGTTTGTGTCGGTGTAGTATAGTCGAAACATTGGGCAGTTCAAGGTTAAAATACTCAAAACTAATAAAACTGCATATATTTTCATTCTGATTTTGATAATCTCGTATTCCTTCACACTATCTTTCAATCAAAATTGCTAAGTATCAATTATACGAGTAATACGCTCAATGAGCAAACACGCGCAATCATTGAATGTTGAACTCAGAAACCCAAATCGTGTAACACTATCTATAACATAATGTAGATTATCAAATGCGCTATATGAAATTATACAACACCGTAATATTCTCTTACTTATAAGCTTTACGCAGACAACGAAGTAATTATTATGATATGAAGTGATATTTTACACAAAAAATGACCCCAGAGAACATAAGTCAAGCTAATTTAGGAAAGACTTGCAGTAAATACTGGGAGAGAGTATGAATTATTTCAGAGACATGTTCGCGAAAGAGAATAAATTGTTGCTGAATATGGATCGTATACACAAGAGTAATGTTGGACCTACTATGATATACTGGGTTGTTTACTTCAGGATTCTCTTGAGAGAGCGTCCAATATACTGCGATGATAAAGAACTGAGGTTCTGATAGAAAATGTAAAAAGAAGTTACGTAAGATAACACTATGAAACAAGCTAAATAAACAGTTGAATAAAGCCTTAATAAAAAAACATGAAACTTGATTTTGTGTGGAAACGCAGCTGTAAGACTATGAATATTAAAAAGTGTATGTAAAGAAAAATATTACATAAACCCCTTCAAAAGAGTTAAAGAAAACAAAATTACTGCCAATATTAAAGAAAAAGTGTGTTAATACCAAGTACCGTAATAAAAACGAATTATTACTGTTCCCTACGAGTATAAGACATGTTTACTAGCGAAAAAAGGTTGCCTGAAGATAATGTCCACATTAATTAGAGACCGAGCAAACTAAGGGTGTATTCAGACTGGACAAAAAGTTTGCAGTTTAGCTTTAGGCTCACTATTTACGCTTCGTCCGCAACCAGTTATTGTCCTAATGAGTGCCGTTATGGATCCAGAATGTATTAAAATGTGGCTTGTTAATGTGCGGCGTACTTAAACCATAAAAGGTCAAAAACGGTGGAGTATACTTAGAACTCTTACGTGTCTATACTTATTTCCGCAGAGAAAAACGATTCTTTGACCCGGCTCAAGATCGGTTGACCTTAAGTGTGACCAATGTTTAAGTTTTCCCCTTTTTATGCTTATCATCCATGCATTTATAATTTTAGATTAATCAAATATTTTTGTAGGTAGTTATGGCAACAAGCTTGCAAGCTATATTGTGATTCATCGATAAAATGTGTCATTTTGTGGGATTCAAAAATTATTCTATAACCCGTTGAACTCAGATATATGTATAGACACTAGTATTGAGATATACACACGTTACAGCAATTTATGGTTGCTGACCGTATAGCCCAGCGTTAAAATCAACACGTTAGGTTATAATCTTCCACAAATTATTTGTTAAATAAGGAGTAAATTTTAAATTCTGAACTACTTAGTTGGCGTTAAACAGGTTTATGATTAAACTCTGTAGTGCAAATTTTTTAATAAAGCAACACGTAAGTAATTGAATATTAAAATAACACCTATCTTGTTAAATATACAGTTTATTTTCCTTTTTGCTTAAAAAAATTAGATGGTGTTCCTTACGTTAATTTTTAATTAAGTTATAATCACATTAAGGTTATTTACTTTTTCAGACTCTAAGATTTTTTTTTTACATTATTAAATACATGCAACGCGAATTTCAAGCGACATCTTGTGTGAAACCACGGCTATTTACAGAATTTATTATTTATACACAATGATAATATTGTTTACCCAAAGCCACGAATACTCGTGATTCTGATTAGTCACGTTTTCAGAGAAATGTTATGTTGTGTTGGAAATATTAAAAAGTCGTGTCACTTTAAGTGAATTTACATTTAACACATATTTTTGTAAATAATAAAGAATTCGCCTATTATAATCTATGCATATAAAAACGTTAAGGTGATTTGTGTACGCTTCAAAAACTCAAAAAGTTCTGCACTGATTGAGTTCAAATTTCGACAATAAATAAACCGCTTCAAAGTTTGTTTTGATCTATTTTCAGTTTTGTTCATAAATTCTAATCAATGCAACCACAATGTGACACAGCGGAGCGTGGCAGGGTACAGCTACTTAATCTTAAATATTTGCTTATAAGTTATGTCGTATTGGCCAATTCAAATCTCATTGACATCATTATTCATTCTACCATAGCAACAATAGACAAGTACGCGATCCCGAGCTATGCAGTCTCTATTCCTTTTACCCATCCAAGACTTCGGTTATATTTTAACTTAGCTCCATCACAATATCCAATTTCTTTACCGATATCTTCTTTTTTTCACAGGATAATGACTACATTCCTCAAATAAATAGGGTAGGATAGTATTTACGAGTATTAAACTTTTTACATACAGGTGTACCATTCTACAACAAACCACTATTTAAAATAAAACCTAATGTAAGTTAGATTGGATGTATTGTATTGCAGTGATTATAGTTTGCCGGTACAAAGGAACAGTAAATTTTAATGGCCTGCCGACTGTAACATTATTCAAATCATTTTACCCATGAACTATTAGGAAAGACAAAAGAGCGTTGAAATGAGCGTGATGTACTGTGAGCAGCCTAGTTCAATAAATTGTTATCTAGGTACATACATCATCATCATCATCATCATCATCATCATCATCATCATCAACAGCCTCTAATAGTCTACTGCTTGACATAGGCCTCACCTTCGAAAGGAGATATTGGCCTAGTATGCCACGCTGATCAGACGGGTTGGTATAGAGTTTGTGTCAAGTTTTCCTTTTCTTTGCAGTGTTATTGTCCTGCGTAGTTTGCTCCCTTATTCTGCTCTTACTACACCCACGGGATGAATAGGAGTGGTGACACTCCGTATTCTTAATCCATCACCACACAGGAAGTACATAAATCCACTCATACCTAAATCACCAAAGGTAGGTAGACATGTATCGAACACCCACACCCACAACTGTTGCTATAGCAAGGCTATTGCTATTATGCATTGGGAATTAACGATGGAAAAATTAGGCGTCTCTTGAAATGAAGAGATAGTTACGAAGGGTATTCAATTTAAAGAAAGGGATATTGCTTGTATGCTTCACATAAGTTAGCGTCGATGGCCAAAAGATCTCCGACCAGCTCGATCCCTTGGCGTTATGTAGAGATGTACCTTCACTCTGCATTCCCTATCATATTATGTATCATAGAGAGTGCTCCGAGGAATTGTTTTGACTAATAACTGCCCCAACTTTCTGCCATCGTTCCACACGGCAAATTTTTCATCCCCATCACTTGGGTAATTGGCACTCCACTTTTTGCAGGCAAGTAGGTCAGGGACGAATCACTGTTATTTGAACTGGCTGTTGTCAGGAAGTCCGAGCCCTCTGACAAATTATACCACTGCCTATTGTTCATAGTCATTTGTAGTCTTCTTAGTTTGGTTATCAATTATACGGTTTGCAACGAACAAAAATGGAAATTGTTATCAGGACTTTGGTAACTATTTTCATTGTCCTTGTTTCTTATAAGGTCTTCACCTTGATCACTACCGTCGTTCTTATTGAAACGAGGGCAACAAGACAAGACAAGACAGCTTATTCATGATAAAGAATCAAATTAGTATATATCTAGCTGAATTCCTAGACTGATTAAAGCAAACTAGGTTTCTGTAAGTTTTCCTATGTCTGCCAAACAAATTGTTACTAATGTCACTGCTGCACAAATTGTTACTAATATCAGTGGCCAGCCAAAAGTTATATTAGTTCAAATAGTTATCAATCTTAATTTGCACGTAACATTGTCTGCGATAAATTGCTTTTTGCTAAAGTAAAATTTGCTCAACTAACGTTGACTTACTAAACTAAGTGACTGATACTCTACAGATACTTGTAGTTTGACGAAAAAAAAATGTGAGTACATTAAAGTAGGAAAACCTTTTTGGACAGAAAAGGTGTGAGATTTTCTTACTATTATTGCTACTACTATTTTATTTATAACACTAATGATGTCAAACTTTTGTTCAAGCTTTTTTCCATCAATTTTTTTTATTAAACTTTTTGTAAAATTTGTAATTCAGTTACAAATTATTAAGTCTAGTGTTCTCATCAGTTGTAATTACTTTTATAAGTTTTGTTAATAAGTCAAGATAACACATTTACCATACTGGATAATTTGGATAAACTTTTAATTTGGAATCTACAACCAAATTAGAAGATATAATTAAAAAGTAGGATGTACCTGATTCTTTCTAATTAAGATGTTATCTACCGATAAAAATCTTTAAAATCACTAAAGTAAACTATTTAGGTTGGCTATTTAAACACATCCGTAAGTTGTCTGACTTTATAAAGGTAAAAAAGTAATTTTCTTGTGAATCCGAACGAACGTTATTGACACATTTGTACATCTGTCACTATTTCGAACATCCGCTTAATCAATCTGTGAGTACCTCTAATATTATAATCAACTGCAGGAATGGCACAGCGGTTATACAGTCGCCGCACGATAGTGTCTTGAGTATTGGGGGTTAAATCTCCATAGTACAATTTTTTTTGTGATTCACAAATGTTTGTCCCGAGTCTGAGTGTTCTTAATGGCCGTTATTTGAATATTTGTTACCAAATAAGTAATAAAACCAATGATTGTAATGTCGGCGTGGGCGTAAATGTTTTTTTTTTTTGTTAAAAATTGGCATTTCGTAGATTTTTGAATTACTTTTTCTTTTAGAACTCATGGATTTTTATAGTGAAATGATTTTGAGTTGTTTAATTGGTTCTTTCATGTTAAAAACAGCAACCTTATTTCTTAGGCAATATTTAGGCTAACCTTTTCAAGTACAAACTTAATAGTTTTTAATTAAATAAATTGTATTAAAATGTTCATAATAGTAAATTTTATTACCTTCTTCATCACTTCCAATCATCTTATATCTGTCGTAACCACTAAGATCTCTATGTAAGCCGAGGCCGAAGTCATCCTTAGTCCACTGTAACTGCCCCGCTTTGTTCTCCACTCGACATGGTAACGTCACCCTGGAGCCGACTACTGCCGTCTGAAAATAGAACAATATATGTATAATTTAATTCTACGATGTGGGCCTGTTGGGCTCGTGGTTAGTTAACCTGTACTGCTACGGTCGTGGATTCGATTCCCACTTAGGACTAATAATTATGTGTTGCGCTGCAATTTAGATAGATATTTTAAGTATTATAGTTAAATCACGACTATATAATTAAAACACCATAATCATTTCACATTTTTTGAATGAGTCTTATAAGAGAATGTTTGCTGTGTAAAATTGCTAGACGTATTGAAACTAACATGTTTTTCTATTCAATATTAGATCAATTCTAATTAACCATGTTATATTAATTTTTATCTTGACTTTTACTTATCGAATTTTACTTTTTACTTAAAAATCGACACTTCATTAGCTCAATTCTATATTCTGATATAGAATATAGAAAAAACTAAATTACTACTATATACTACTACTACTATGGGTATTTAATAATTTAAAATTATAAAATTCTGTACATTCATCATCAACAGCCTTTACTAGTCCACTGCTGGATATAGGACTCTCCATAGAAAGAAGGTTTTGGCCTACTATACCACGCTGGCCAGACGGCTTAGTATAGGTTTAGGTATTTGTTTTAAGTTTTCCTTCTTTTTGCATTGCTGTTATCCTGCGTAGTTTGCTCCCTTAGTCGGCTGTTACGACACCCACGGAATGACTAGGGGTGACAAGGGACCACACGTTCTGTACAAAAGATTTAATTCAACTGACGGCAATTAATCATATACCTATAGATAAATTAGACTAGTATCGTATAGTTTAATATTTCATCATCATCATTATCATTCGAAAGTACATCCACTGTGGGACATGATCCTTGGCCATCGCCAAGAGGGGTTAGAAGTGACGTGCATCAATCAATCTGCGATCTCTATATTTTTTTTTTTTGCTTAAAAAAGACAACTCCCGCATTAGGAATATATCCTGTGTCGCGGGGGACTTTACAAACATACATGAAACGGACACAAAGAACACCCAGACTCAGAACAACAATTTGTGAATCACACAAAGTGGTGTCCCATGTGGGGATCGAACCCACAACACTCAGCGCAGTAGGAAGCGGCGTGACGACGCGCGGTCATCACCTGTCTACCTTATTGGTGAACGTCCTATGCTGTATTTCACTAAGCATAAATAAGATAAACTAAAAGTATTTAAATACAAAGTTTTGTATAACAACATAAGCTCTTAGTTTATTTTTCTCTTTCGGTAATAAAATATCTATGTTCTATTTTCAATAATTTTTAAGGTTTTTTCGACTGTTATGAGAATACATTTTAACTTAATTTCTTCTCATTTAGTTAAAGAAATAAATAAAGAAGGCACACTACACAAGCATAAAAACTCAACTCATGATCGCTCGATGATGAAGTAAGAGTCAAGAGAGAGTTATGATAATGTCAACTTAAAATAATTCCTTAAGTTGCTAAACTTAAATTAATTAGTATTGACTTGGAAATACATTTTTAACGAACCTGATATACTACTGATATTTCTAGAATCTGTTAAAAGCTGATAACTATACGGAATAATTATTAGTTGTTACGATTTCTCATGTAAAGAGAGGTTATTTTGGTAGTTAATGATGCCAATTTTGGCAGAGGTATTTCAGGCTAAAATAACCAACGATAAGCCCTAACTTAAATTACGTTGTTAGCGGTTTCATCAAAGCAAATCACCTACCCTGGAATGATGTAATTAAATGTATGAACATTACATTTAAGGCAAATTATTTTTAAACTAATTTCTCAATGGAATAAATCAAATTGGCCTGAATTACCCGCAATTTATTTGGGTTTATTTTAGGTCGGATAACATTTTTGTGGATGGTGTTTTTTTTACTAAATTTCATTTTACAATAAGGAATATGGTGAAATAATTATAACTATGTTAAAATTAAATGTATTTTTGTCGCCTTTATTTCTTTTATTTATACTAACGTGATTTTAGAAAGGTTTAAAGATTTTTGTGTAACAGAACAAATTGTAAATATTTTTCATTTATATACTATGAAATTCATTAATTGAGTTAGGATTTTATTTTAACAAAATCATCAAAAATCATACTCAAATTTAAAAATTGAACTTACAAAGAAAGATTTGATCTGAAAGAGGCAATCAAAATAATAGAACGAAGTCTTTAACGGATTATTTAAATTGAAAATCACTATATTATTACACCAGTATGTTGGAAATGAAGTGCTATGAAAGCTTGTCTAGAATTATCTCAATAGACACTGGTATGCGACAATATTCTAAGAATGCTTCTGGATTAATGAACACCGCCTATTACAGTTTTGTAATTGGAACTTGGCAAGCTTTTTATTGAAAATAAAAGTAAAAAAGTATATATTTTTATTGACCTATAATTTTTACTTACATCATATTTGTTATATAAATATAGTTTAATGCTCAGGTAGGCAGAGTACTTGAACAAATTAAGTAACTTAGAATTTGGTTTAAGCCGGTTTGCTCATGAAAAAAGTAGTCCGGAACTGTTAGGATGTCCTTGGATAAATAGTGTGTACATAACTTGTATTCTGCTATCGTATCAAAGTACTTGACGTCGACAGCAAAAATAATGAGCGACATTCTAGCTCGATATCTGACTGAAAACTGGCAGGAAATATAAATTTATTTGCAGTCATTTGTAAAGTAAAAATATTTTTACACGTTATTACTTTTTGTATAATAAACTAAAAACAGTATCATCACATGGATTTAATGAGTACAGTTCTATACAGAGTAAACAATTATAAGTAGTGTACGCCGCAGCGAGTATTCTCAAAGTGTCAGAACTTAAGGACCAAGATGCTTCGCCATTTCCTACGATCGTTTATGAAATATTGAAAGCGAAGCAATTATGGATGGACTTATGAACTTGTCGGTTAGTAAGCCATCAGTCAATAGTAGTGATTAGGACAACATACCACCTCGATAAATTATTGTAGCAATATATACTACGGGATCCATGTTCGGTAACAGACAATTAAGGTTTGATTTGATTGATTTAGTGACGAGTTCTGGAGTACGAGGTAGTGGGTAATTCTCGTTAGATACGTAGTGCGACGTGTGTGGAATGTAATTAAATAGGGCCAGAATTGATGAAATTAGATTGGAACGCTGATTGTAATTTGGAAATATATTTAATTGTAACGTTTACAAAATTTCCTACACTAAGTTCACTGAACCTACTTCACGCAAAATCCAAAGAAAAAAATTATTTTGAGCTGGTAAATTTTGAAAGGTTATTATGTAATTTTGTTCTTAATGATTTTTTTTTAAAACAGACATTACTATGTTTTTTTGAACTGGCCATACCTTAAAAGAGATTAATTAAAAACTAAAATAGATTACATTTTGGTAAGTTTTATCCATGTTTTACTTACAAGTTTTGATTTTTTCAATTTTTTTCGTAAAGGAGATAAGCAACAGTTAAAAAATGAGCCTATAATTACACATTGGTAAAATTAGAAGAACACGATACTTAAAATTCACCTAATTCCTATTTCAAAGATGATGATAAGGTAGATTCATACGTTCGAAAAAAAATATTTCGCGTGTGTCCATAAGTATAGCCTCAGTTGTCCTCCATAGCAATTTAATGATTTTATTGATTTGATATCTTCAAATAAACATTAAATATAAATGATATGACAATTGCTTGTTAGTATTGACGTAAAACAAATTTGACGTTTAACAAAATTATACTGAATTGACTTGTCAGTCATCTGATTGATATGATTTTCTCTGCTCCTTCCTTTTCCCAAGTTTTAATGTAATGTGATTGTAGTTTATACTGATATGTTTCCCCTTAAAAGTATAAATTAACATTGCTATAGCCGTTATCTAAGTATTTTGTGGCTCCACAACAAAGCTGAGATGGTTAAAAAAAGGTAAAAATATATATTACCTGATCTTGTGGCTCCATCGCGAACTTTTGCTCTTGATAACCACCACACACACCTATAACACTGAACAACACTATACAACAACTGAACACTAACACATTTTGAGTCCGCAACAACAAGAACAGTGACGAAACGCCCCTACTAGTCAGTCTTATCGTACACCTATAGTTCACCATCGTTACCTCTGTACTGCTACAGACAATATCCGTCTACCAACATAACAAGGAAATCCGGGGTTTATTTTAAGGCATTTACATTTTAACGGAAGTTCAACTTCCCCTATTCGAATGTTCTATTTTCAAAACGCACAGTATTGTACTGAATGCCATAGTTTTATTTTTAGATGCTTTTTAGAGGTATGATTTATTAGTTCTCGGGTTTTAAAAGCAGCCGACGATGTGTCGTATCTGAAACAAAGGAAAAAAATAGATAAGTAAGTGGATTATGGTGTCGCTCGTTGGGGTGATGTGGTGATTGACATAAAAGAGACTTGAATAGTTTATTAAATATTCCTTTTATAAATATTGATACAATTTTACTTTTAAGTTTTTACGTACTGAAAGCGTTACTGCTTTTCTAAGTATCTGTCAGTTGTTGTAAACTATTTATTAAAATAGTAGGCCAAAACCTTCTTTCTAAAGAGAGGCCTATGTCCAGCAGTGGACTATTAAAGGCTGTTGATGTGATGTGATGTGATTTATTTAAAATAAATTCCTGGGTTATACATCTTTAAGATATGCAAATATGAACTAGTTTTTTTCTTTTATTAAGAAATTAAGAGAAAAAATTATGAAAGAAAATGAAGATGTTAGTAAAACAGCAACGTAATAGTTGGATTAAATTAAAGGTATATCGAAAATTAGAAACAGTATATGAGCATAAAAAGCATTTGCTTTCAGCTCCGCTCGCCTAGGAGTCATTTTCTACTTCATGCAGGCAACTGCATGAAAGTTGAAAATAATAAGCTGTTCTAATAAGCCCAAAAATGGTATGTTTGCTGTAATTTGCTGAGGATTTGGCTATCCCGCAGACTATTGGATGCAGCAGCAAGTTCCAGGTTACCATATCGTGGAAATACCATCAAAGTAACAGTATACCATATTTTAGATCAATCGGATCGGCTGATTTTAGTGAGATCCCTTCATCACCTAGGAAATGAGCTAATGATCTTGAAAATTTATAGCTAAGAACCATCTGGATCACATCGGCTGTCGGACAAAAAAAAGCGCATCGGAATCGGTACATCCGTTCGGGAGCTATGATGCCACAGACAGACAGACAGATACACAGATATACAGGTTAAGCTTAAAACACCCGTCGTTTTCTATCGGGGATTAAACAAATTAGATCAGAAGTTTACTCTCTTACCTCAGTAATTATTTTAAAAAAAGTATTAGGTACAATAAACATTGCAATAAATCTAAAACAATTGTTCTTTAGGTCGTCACGTACAAAATATGAAAGTTTTGACAGCCCCGCATAGCAGTGACAAAGGAAAACGTAGCTTAAATAATAAATTACAAAGAAAACAAACTTCTGAACAACTTTTTGCCTACAATGATATAGTTCAAGGCATTACTTCCGTCTGAATTTTTATTGTACCCAGTCTTGCTATAAAACAATTTATTTTTTAAATTCAAACCTAGAGCTTTAGAATAGAGGATTTTACAATTTAATTTAACTAAAATGACCTTTTTTATGTGAAAAACCAAACAGTCGTTACTAAAATCACATATTACTCTCAGGTCAGGTCAGGTGTATTGCCAGGACCTCAGAATTACCCTAGATAGGAAATTTGTAAATACTGGCAGCCTTGGCCGCTTTTTTAATTAAAATTGACCTAGTAATATACTATGCAAATTAAAATTGATATTTATTATTGCTATGAAATGTTCTACACTATATTTAAAAAATATCAAGTACTGTTTTATAAAAGTAAGTTAACTAGCAAGCATAAGTTGAGCAGTTACTGTTTCAATCATACTCAAATATTTTTTGTATGGATGTGTATGTTGAATATATGTATGTTTGTATGTAATGTGAATGTGAATATGTGAAATAATGCATGTAACATTGTTATATTTAACCTTAACTTCACTAATTTGTGGATAATAAAGTTTTGTTCTCACTGAATTGAATAAATTTTTGGTCAAAGTAGATACTATTCGAATAGAATAATAATAACCTAAATTGCTTAGAGCTATGAATATACAAGGTTTAAGGTAAAGGTCATATTAGACATTAGAGTAACCTTAACTCCCAAACTAGGTGTTCCTGTGACTTAGGAATAAGTTACTGTTCTGTGTTATAGAGAGAAATTATAGATTTTAATATAATGTGATGTGTGTGTGTGGTTGTGTGTGTGTGTGTGCATGTGTGTATGTGTTGTACAGCTCACTGCTGTAGTTGAAGTGGTCCTTTCCTTTAGATTTCTAGAGATTTTTAGATCTTAATGAACCGGTTTTTTATTAAATTATATTATATGTTTCATATTATAAGTCTTATAAATTGTAAGACTCGCATGTCTTGTTTAATAACCAATGATCAAAATTGCCAAAGGGTTGGTGAATTGATTACAAGAGCCTTTTTTGCTGGTTACTTTTTTTATTTCCCACGTGGGGCGAGACTGTAACCCTCTAACAGGCACGTGCCCGGACTTGTTGGTGCTAGGTGAATATAAACTGATGTCTCTAACACCAAATTTTATAGAGAAATAGTGAGATATAAAAAAGAAGATTTAATATCGTGTAAAACACGAACTTCCTCAAGCATTTTTTTACTAATATTTATTAATATTATGTCTCAACATTAGTAGATCGATTGAAATGATCGATCTAATAATGTTAATCAAACGATCATGTTATCATCAAACAATCTATAAACAATACTATAGATGAGAGTACTAGTTTTTGCTGTCTATATTTGCTTCACACGTTAGTTGAAATAACGAAGAGACCTTCCGACCATATTAGAGTAAAAAGAGGAATATATTTACACTAAACTCGTTTTCAATTCGTCTTGCCCTGAGGTCATGATGTTTAAAACACCTATTTTAAATCAGCAATAAAATCCTAATAATAGAAGTAAGAAGATATCTGACATATTTTTATTTGTCATTTTAATTATGTCCATTGTTCGCATTCTTAAAGTTATTTTAAGAGAATTCTTTTATATAATTAATATTAAATAGCGGCGCCATGTCTGTTGTCATGGTCTATTAATATCGTTAACCAACCGAGCCGTTCTAAATTCAAAGTGATTCCTGAATTCTCAGACGAATGAATCGTCCAAGAATGGATGGTTGCATGAATGAGTCATATGTAAGTGAATGAATGAATTGAGAGAACTGATCCGGCGAGGACTATAAAAAGATGCACTTCTTTTGCTTCTATTTAATGTTTAACGTCCCCTTAATTTTTGACGTGAACTGATGCGGGTGGGTAAGACACCGGTGATGCGACGCGTCGCCACGCTATGTGATATTATAATTATGTAACATGTAATGCGGTGGTCACGCGTCGCCATGCGCAAGTGGCTCTGCGATTATCTCGCGTTTATTACTAAAGTGACTTTTTCAACTTTATTTCTAGAAAATAATTTCGACGTTTCTCATCTGCCAAAGGCTCAATTGTTTTTCTTAATCTTTTTACTGTTTTATGTTGTCTGTTTTTTTTTAATTTATATTAGTTTTAAAAAAATAAGCATGCTAGTTGCATAGTTTTAAACCTATTTTTTTTTTGTAAATTATTACTATTTTAAAAATTTGCGAGAAAAATATATCTTTAATTTTCTTATAATAGATGTTGTTGTTGGTTGTAACAATACTAAACATTCGCTTCATTACGAAACCTGGAATTCATTTAGGACTTCTCAATAAATTGAGGTTTTACTTTAAAATTTAGAGGTGCATTAAACTGTCTTTGAAATAAATATTCAAATGATTTTTTTTTACATTCTTGTACACATTCACTCACATTTTGCCTGCTATAATTTTAATTTAACATAATATTACCAGTTTATTAATAAAAATACCTACTTAAATATTTCTAAATACAGACATAATTACAGCCTGAAGTAGAACAAAATAGTGCAGAAGCTGGTTGCTTCATAAAATATTTCCATTAACTCTAAACTTTCGTTAAGTCTGATGGTTAGTAATCCTGACTGATGAGTCCTGAGTTCTTTTGCCACCCTTTTATTTTTTGTGTGCGGTTTTTGGTCGAACCGATCAAAATAATTAGAATGTATTATACCTTGAGACCCTTTGTTCTGCGGCTGAGTGTAACTTATCTATAATATGTATGCATTTAGATAAATATATACTCGTTACGATAGCATAGACTGATATCGAATATAATAAGTATGTGTAGTGAAAGAAAAAAGTATCAAAATTGATAAACATAGGGCAATTTTTTGTTTCACACCACGAGCTGAATTACAAACAACATAGAAATACAATATAGTTTAAAACAACTTAAAAACACGCTTTTGTAACTCCCAGACTAAAAAACTTAGGCAGGCTTTAATAATGCAGATTATACATTTTTGGCATAGCAAAACAAAAAGTGTGAAACTGATTTCCATACTGAAATGCGCATTCTCTTTTATCAATTTATTATATTGTCAACGGTCCTTGATAAGTGTGCGATGTTTCATTTTAATTCAGTTTAGAAGTGGCTCAAAATCAAGTTCGAAGATTCCGTTACATACATACATAGATACATACATAGCAAGCTAATAAAGGCGTGTTAAAAAAGGTTATTGTCGGTAGTGTAAACTACTATAACGAACATTATTCGTCACACTTAGAATATTCATGTTTATATATTTATCATTATGTTAAATTATAATGATATTAGTACTCTCCAAAGGTATGTCAAGATTTCCGTCAAAATTTTTCTTGAACATGACCACAATGAGGTCATTCAACCCGCCAATAATAATCGTAACAAATCGATGAGAATCGGAACGAGAACTTGTTGAAATAACGCACAATGCCCATTAATTATGGCTACCAGGT